TTTGTGAAAATGGTGATGACAAGTCTAACGCGATTCGGGGCCGACTTTAAGCTGTGGCTTATACGTAAATGTAATATTTTTTTATCTCGTAACACCTCTAATTCAACTCGTACCTCTTATGGCGACACATATAGGACACATATGAAACTGTATTTTTACTAGCATTGCAAATTAAATGTTTAATGCAAAAATACCTTATAAAAAAAGTAACATGGAGTGCACAAAATGGACAGTAAATCAAATTCATACTCATTCCTTATATACATTGTAATGCCCGAGATACGCCCGTTTGGTACAAAGTTCCCCGCGCAACAGCTGATTACCGTGATACAAAGTTTCCCGCGCATTTAACAGCCGATTACCATATGAGTGGTGGCTGTTTGTTTAGCATGCGGTTATGGAAGGTTGTGGCTTCAACCTCAGACCAAATAAGATAATAGAAGTGAGTCAGCCGAGGCCCTGGTCACCTGACGCGACACGTCATCACGTTGCTCCGATTGCAATGGCTCCGAAAAGACAGTTCGAAAAGTACGGCGTTGTCTTGACAATACGTCAGCACAATCCGATTACTTATGTTAGGAGACAAAAAGGGAGAAAAACACAAACATTTTAAAATCAATGATTTCCACGATGTAAACAATCTCTGATGCTGAGACAACCAGTTACATTTGTTTGAATTTTCAATGTGGCTTAGGCCTACATAAAAATATTATATCTCAAAAAATATAAATATGAAAAAAATGAAAAAAATAGATATTAGTCCCACGGCCGTACGATATTCGTTACTTATACTTATTGTTAAAGACAAAGATGCATCGATACAGGTTAAAATCGAACGAATGAAATAATATTAATCGAATTATCGATTTATCGTGTACACCTATACCGATAGTTTGTCCATGTCACAGCGCACAGGCACTACTTTACTGGACGATTTATAAGCTCGCCGTAGTGTCGGCAGCCCAAGATGATTTTCCTGTTGGTCAGGAAGTAAAACTGGCTTTCGGAAGGTGATTACGACCCAATTACTGAAATTACCGTACTAATCAGGCTGCGTCATAATTTTTGTCAGTTTTCTGGTTTTTAACCATTCATAACAATACATCGATTATATTTTTATTTTCAGTTTTACGAGTGTTTGTGCTCGTAGACAACAGATGTTTTCTACCACCGCAATTAACTTATCATAACCCTCAGATTAAATTTTTGTCGTATATAAATAGTAGTTTACGCAACGATTGCGTAAAGATAGTGTTAACGACACGAGTAGAAAATTTAAGGTACGAGCCTTGGCGAGTGCCTTAAAAACTTCCACGATATAACTGCTACTTTAAAAAACGGTAGTAGGTAATAGTATATTACGTTACTAGTCCTGAAAATAAGTGTGTACCGGACTCGTATGGTAATCCCGTACTCGACTTCGTCTCGCACGGGAACGACCACACTCGTCCGGTAAACACTTATTTTCAGGACTAGTAACGTAATATACTATTACCTACTACCGTTTTTTAAATTAGCCATTTCAGTACAGTTCTTAGAATCGAAAAGTTTCACTTAACAGCTGTTTACTTTCATAACAGCATAGTTTCATTTCATAACAGCATAGTTTTTCTCATAACAACCACTGAGCTACAACACGGGTAACGGACCAATGAGGTACAAGGATTGAGAGATAAGAAGTACAATTGTTAATACTTCGAACGTCAAATAATCAGCTGATCAGCTGATCAGTTGACAATTTTAATTGTTGATCCAGCTTGTTCCTGTTGATACTCGCGTATTCTTAACCTAAGTTGTTGGAAGTTGTATTCATTGGTGGAAGTTAAATGAAGGTTGATTTTAAAATATCAGTTAGTGAAAGTGATGTTGACGAGATGGAAATGAGAGCACAAACTGTTTGTGCTAATATTTTGCCACAAAAATCAAAACAAATGTATGCAATTACATACCAGCAATTCATTAAATGGACGAAACAAAATAAGGTTAAATTGATAAATGAACATGTTCTTCTGGTTTATTTTGAAAACCTCTTAACCACTTTTTCACCCAACTCGTTGTGGACCACATATTCGATACTGAGATCTAACTGTAAATTAACTGTTTCACTATATTATTCAGTTGTCCAAAAATATATGCAATATTTCCCTAATTGTACCTGATACAGTATTTATGGTAATAATGCTGCTAGCAGAACCGATTGCCTGAAAAAGTAACGTATTATTTAACAAAGTTTTACAAACACGTAATTACATGAAATCAGCTGATTATACAATAAGTCGTTGCATCACTTAATGACAATAAACGAAAACATAACCTCTCTAGGAAGTTATGAGTAGTAATTTATAGTAATAAAACCCAGATTTTTAGCAATTAAAAAACGGTCGTAGGTAAAGTAGTGTACGCAACGTGCGTTAATAGTCTTTACGACACTCGTAGAAGTTTTTCACTCGTGTCGTTGACACTATCTTTACGCAAAAGTTGCGCAAACTACTATTTTGTTATGTTATTTTCTTACCGAATATTAGTGTATGTAGAAACGCCGCAACAATGAAATCAGCTGATTTAGTGATTTAGCGAGGAATGAGATATTTGCATACTGACATGGTTGACAATGTGATCATTTTCATGCACTGGTAAAATAAACGTGTTTTGCGAATCTCTTCAGAATTGTTCTACTACTTTTGGGTTCATGTATAGATTCTTCTTTATTTGACTACATCACCGTTCAGTCAGATGCCAGCCGCAAAGTCCGGTTGAGTTTTGTCGATGACATCACCCTTGTTGCAGTTCTGGTTGGGTTACAACATCTCTTATCAAGTCCATTTCATGTTATAGCCCACCATCGGCTTTCCAAACGATTCTACTGAGAGGTTTATATCGTAACTTTTCTGAGAATGGAATTAGATTAGAACTTAAATTGATTTCGCGAAGTCTTTTAAAATTGTTTGTGTGACACACACAGTCGTGATATAAAAGAGTTTGTAGTTAAACTGGTGTAAACAATGTTGAAATTAAAGACTGGTAAAAGCTTGTTCAAGTTCAAAATTAAGTTTTGGTAAAAGTTTTTGTCAATTTATGTAAGGTTCATTTTGACGCATTCAACTCACACAGTAGAGCAGCGTTAAAATAAATATCATATCCGAAAAATAATGAAATTAATTATTTTTGACTGAGTAATACAGTATCTTGAACTTTACTGTTTCAAACAATCAAGCTCAAAGAATATAATTTATCGATTATTTTGAGTCTAAAATATATATATAAAAAAAACATAAAAGTACTGGAGCTATTGATTTTTAATCATAAAAAAACTTTATAACAAATAATTATTACGTTGGTTGTTCACCTTGTGTTTGCTTGAAACGTTGAAACTCGTCCGAATAACTGGCTATTTGAATAACTAATAAATTAAAGCCGGTTGATGGTTCTTAGACCAAAATATATAGATTTATATAATTATAACTGGTGACATACATCTTAAATTGAAGTAAGAATTTTAAAATAAATCAAATTTATGTTTTTTATTGAGTAATACAGTAGGTAAATAAATATATATCGATGCTTGATGTTATCTGTGCGTGCATACCTTCAATTTGATACTTCAATAATGAAAATCCGTCGGGTAGAAGAGCCAAACGAATTTGGATAAGAAAAACCAAATTTAACTCCCATAAGAAATACATGGGGAGCATATTTCATTTACGTATATAAGCCAAGTGGGACTATAGATAACAAACTTGGAAAAGAAAACCAATTTTTTTAAATATGTAAGATAAGTGGATTTTCCATTGCATATTTTATGAATTAATTGTGTTTCCACACATTGAAACTTATTGTAATTTGTTCAAACTTAAAATGTGAGCTGCTTAAATTACTTGTTCCAAATTACCAGATAAGATTTGTCTGTGTTCATTAGCAAGTGCTATAGTGGAGTGGAGTTGTACTCGGGCCACTTATTCATTTTCTCTTGCTTTGCCCTGTCAGTATTATTTTATCATACATTATAACTCTAAGGCTAAATTTATAAAAAACTAACTGAACCAAACACACGTAAATTAAAAGTGGGTGCTATATCCAGTGGGATTAGTTTTGACATCTTGATCATTAGAGCAATTAATGTTCCATTCCCTACCTTAATCTGCTGGTTATAGTCTGTAACAAAGCGAAGTATCTCATTTCATTCTCCTTCAATCACTTTATTCAGACGTGCACTTTCTATTTTAAGCTAAATGAATGTTGGATGAGTATAGAATTATGTGAGATGCCCTGTGCTTTGTTAAGCCTTGTTCACACGGGGCGAGTTTACAAGCTACTCACCAGCGTGTAAAAAGCCGGCGAGTTGGCGAGTGTGCTTGTATTCGTTCACACGGAGCTTGTCCACTCGCCAACTCGCCAATGTGTAAAAAGACACCACAGAGTTGGCGAGTGCGCTTGTAGTCGTTCACACAATGCTTTTTCCACTCGCTCAGTAGCTGGCTCGAACCAATGTTTGTGTATTCATTGCTCGAACCAAATCCTCCACCATCTTTGAATAACACGCGCACAAGCACAAGCAACTGTGTTCACACTGGGCTACTTTACACGCCTACTTGCTCAAAAGCTGGCGAGTTGGCGTGTAAAGTAGCGGCAGCGTCAACTTTTTCCAGAGCTTTTTTACAAGCAGCTTTTGCGCGAGTACGTCGTTCACACTGAGCTATTTTACTAGCTGCGTGTAAAAAAGCCGGCGTGTAGCTTGTAAACTCGCCCCGTGTGAACGGGGCTTTACTGAATAAAATCAGCTGTTCTTTAGACAAGACCATTTAATGAATTCTAGCTGTAAGGCTGGGCCCAGTTTTAAACCATTTAATGAAACTCAGGATGTAAATGGCGACCTGATTAATAATTGAGCACTTAAATCACTCCTCTCACACACATGCACAGCTCAAAATATGCGAGTGTATCGCTATCCCAGTTTTGGCAACATTCTAAAGAACATTTTCTCATAATTGTTTTTGTTGCAGGCACCAAGAAGATGGAGTACAAGACGAGGCAATGGCACGAGCCTTGCTTCTCTTGCTGCGTGTGCAAGTCGCCCATCGGGACCAAGAGCTTCATCCCACGGGAACAGGAGATCTACTGCGCCAACTGCTACGAGGAGAAGTTCGCCACTCGTTGTGTCAAGTGCAATAAGGTAATGAACTAAGCTAAAACAATAGTAGTTTCTCCTATTCCATCGGAAAAGGATTCTGCTGGCTATGTAGCAATAAATATTGAGCAATGTCATCTTACTACTTTTTCAAGAAAATATGAGTGACGTGATATAAAAAAAAACTTTATTACAAGCATCTATTACTGTCGAAACAAAAAGATATAAAGTCCTTTGTTTGAAGTTCATTGTTGGTGATGGTGAGTTAATGTTGTTCAAAGGTTTATTGCAGACTTTTTCCATCACGGACATTTTCACCTGAGGACGGGATCAGATTCCAGATCCCGAAATGTTGTGTATTGTCTTTTTTACCATCGTGATGGAAAATGTCCGCAATAAACCTTTGAACAACAGATATAAAGTATTGGTATAGGAGTACAAAACAACATAAATAGTAATAGAACTATTTATATCATCCCAAATTATGTTGATAAAATAACAATATTTATATTCAGATGAAAAAGCAACAGTATATTTGTCATGTAAATTAAAAATTTTTGCTTAACACTTTAAAATTACATGGCTTTCATATTCAGATGAGATATTAAATTTAAAACTACCTCACCTAGTTACCATGTAGTGTATAGTGTAGCCTACTATAGGCAAAAGGCCTGTCCAGTGTTCATGGGCGTCCATCAATATGGGCTCGGGCCCTCCAGTAGAAAACCACGTTAACCCCCTTGGTTTAGATTGTGCAGTAATTACATAAAAGTTAAATCATTTCACACTTAATCCGTGACTACAGAAGTCAGTTTTCAAATTTTTAAAAACTACCGAAAAAATGTATTGACAACAATAATTTAGGTACTGTAAAAACTAAATTAACCATTTACTAGTTAAATTTTGAGCATTTTCAGGATAGGACCAACCTCTTTACTTTGAGTTATTCCATACCCCTTTACCCTTATGGAAAAGTTAGATGTACACCCATGGGGGTCTCTTGTGATTTGCAACAATGTTCTATAAATTCAATTTTTCAACAGATCATCACAAGTGGTGGAGTGACATACAAGAACGAGCCTTGGCATAGAGAGTGCTTCACCTGCACTCACTGCAACACATCGTTGGCCGGACAACGCTTCACTTCACGCGACGAGAAGCCTTACTGCGCCGAGTGCTTCGGCGAGCTCTTTGCTAAGAGATGCACCGCATGCAGCAAACCCATAACTGGTACGGCCCATTGTAATCATATTTTATCATACCATCATTGACATCCTGGTAGAAAGAATTGTGTCAAATTTGGGTCAACAAAAACATCACTTTGTGATAATTTTTTAGTGGGATTCCGATTTACTACCGGTACAGTAATATCAATCATATAGTCTATTTACTGCCTTCTACATGAGTCTATGTGTAATTTTAAAACTTTTACTTTTGAATACTGAAGTATAAATTCCATCTATAGATAACAGTGCTTTATTTTTCTGAATCGTTTACAAATTTACTTACAGACTGTATTATTTTTATGCACGAAAGACAATAGTCATTTGACCGTCTGTCTGGTTGGCAAAGTCCACTTCCACTATCTAAATAAAATCAACACTGCACTGATATAAAAAATAATAAACATAAAAGCACTCACTTAAAAGCTAAAATAAAATTTAAACTAATTTACATTCATTCCAATTTTTTGAACTGCACCAAGGATTCTAATCTATTGCCTACACATACTAATACAGATACCTACACATCATACTAGGCTATACTGTAAATACATACATACACACATACAAACATACAGATATATTCTAACATACAGTTTTTAGAGTTAAACCAAGAATTTCCTTATACAGTAAACAGTTAAATAATAAATCTTTGAGATAAAAAGTATCATGAATGCTGAAACATAAAATACTGCTCTAATAAAATGAAAGAAAAAAAAACAGAGTACCTATATGATTGTTGAGATTCATCATCAAATAGCCTAGTAATTCCATCTATATGGACCAGTTTTACCCAATCTTAATTGAAAAAGAACATAGTCGGTTGAGCCAATCACAGAGTGTTCTGAGGCTTTAAGTTCCACTTATCTCTTACATTAATGCTGTCGATGTGACATAAAAATCATCAAGTTTGCAATAAGTTATTTGAGCAGACTGTACATTGCCTGTCCTGTAAAAATACTGGCGAGAATATCAAGGGAAAAAGTTGTCTTTTCAGTTTGGTTTTGTCAAGTTGGCATATTCAATAAAAATCAGGATTTATGGGGGGTTTTATGGGGTAAAAATTGGTTTTTCCTATTTTTGACCCTATAAACTTAAAATTTAGCGATTTCTTTCCATACCATTTTGTAGAGCTTAAAAAAACAAATAATTTAGTATATTAAAGCGTTGTTATGCGCCTAATGGTTACTGAGAAAATTCCAAAAATCTGTAAATTTAAAATGCCCATGTTATTCTTATCAAATTTGGAAAATACATTCATTTCATACCAAATTATTACATTTTACAAAAAACACCTTTTTACCCTCCCTGTTGCAGCAAACCTAAGTACTCGTTAAACTTTTATTTAAATAGGGAATACATGTGATATTTCTAAGGAGACATTTTAGTGTAAATCCAATCAGGGAAATGGAATTCGCTTAGTCTGCAGGTTTGCTGTGGCGGGGGTATTTTTAAGTGTGTTTCAGTTTGTTATCATGAATAAATAGTTAAAATTATCGTAACATGGGTTGTTTCCATGGAATCCTTATGTAAAACGGCAGCATTTAGCAATGTTTTTAATTTTTTGTACTTTTGGCCTTTTTTAGTGTGCTCTAGTGGCGAAACGGTTCGTCGTAGAAACAAACATTATATAGGAAACTTGTAGTAAATTTTGTCATCTTTAATTTTACACAAGCAGGATTTTCTCAAAAACCCATAATTACCGAGATTTGCCCGAAAAACCAAAAAAAGTGCCCAAATTTTAAGGTTTTTCCCAAAATAACCAATGTTCCGGGCAAAATATCTGTCAGCAAACCTCATATTCGTGTTCAGCGACCCAAAAAACATAAAGAAAAGTGATGATTAGGACTGTACCTAAACTTTCCGCTAACTGCCACTTATACTCCTAATATGCCTAGCCTATTAAAGTTCAATAACCACACTATCTCAGATGAAGTCGGGTATACAAAATACATATAGCACACTAAGTGACTTACAGTAATGGTGTCCATGTAAACTGATTTAGAACCTGGAATCCATATTGACATATTGTTGCAGTATATACTCCAATTCCCAAAACTAATTTGTTTACTAATAGTATTAGTCTGAATATGTCACATGTAATTTCTTCATAAGAATGTGCTAAGTATAATATGTTACAATTTATACATTTTTTATGGATTTGTTCCTTGTTTCTTGTACAAACTCAACCATGTTCTTTTTAATCTAAGACTGACACATATAATTTAAATGTTAACTGGCACATAAACTTATTTAATATGGCAGAATCTTATTTCTCTGATTTGAACATTATGGATGTAAACAATTCAAAAATGTCTAGGTATTGGTGGCACCCGATTCATCTCTTTTGAAGACCGCCACTGGCACAATGACTGCTTCATCTGCGCATCGTGCAAGACTACGCTCGTAGGACGAGGCTTCATCACCGACGGTGACGACATTATTTGCCCAGAGTGCGCCAAGCAGAAGCTCATGTAAACACCAACTCACCACACATTCATCTGTGATTCGACTATCGCCATCGTACGTGCCGTGCTCTCTTCTTATTCACACAGTCTAACACGCCTTAAGGTGCAATACGCAATACGGACTTCGGTAGTTGACACATGGAAGTATAGCCTCGCAATCTTGGATCGGACGAACCCTTGCGTTTATCTGCTCCACGATTGCGACCGCTAGCCAACGTGTATAGGGTATTATAAATTAGTGTACATAAAATATGCTTTTGTCTTCCTTGCTTACGTGCTGTGTATACGTTATTTTTAACATTTAGGTTTGACGTTTGCCATGCCGATAGAGCTTAGAACAAATTAGTTGAGATTTAGATTCAATATTTTAGTCAAAAGATAACTTTTAACAGATCGTAATTAAAGATTAGTTTGGGAGCAGTACTCTAATGGATACGGATATACATTCGCTTACTAACGCTTACTGAGTCAGATAGGTAAGTAGTATGGCCTTATCGGCTTGATGCCTACTTTTAGTGTCTTTGTAGCTAAGATAGGATCAAACTATTTTTATAAGCTGACGTACCACAATGACAAGTACCGGCTTGACTCACTTTTTCATTAAAGTGGGAGTATTTTAATGTAACGTAACTTATGATCAAAATACACGTACGTTAACTAATTAACTTAAGCCTATTGTATAGTAAGTGGTGGCCTTAAATTATCGGAACAACTTAGCATAAGATCAGGTGAATGAATCGAACAAAAATCGGGTGCATATTAAAAAAAATAGTAGACTAATATGAGCTATATCATATCATATATCACGTAATAGATATTTTATTAATGTCATATCCTTAGAACAATCTCGTTGTATTGTTTTTCAAACAAATATACCATCTCGAGAATTATTTTTAGGTTTGTAATGGTGCTATTTATTTTAACTCTTTCAGTTGGTTTTAATATATATTAATAGTTATTCGATCGTTAAAACTTATGTCTACTGTTATATAAATGTATCGGTTGAAAGAATAGTTTATATGAATGTCAATAAATAATGTGATTTACAACAATGGTCGAAGTATTTATTTGTATAAATTATTATAACCAAACTAATGACCATGGATTGTTAATGTTTTATTATATTTTAGTGATGGAACTTTGTTAATATTTTAACACACAGCGCAAGTTGAGGGGAGGGCAGTGGCGGCTACAAGCACCATTACAGCTGCAAGAACACATTCCACTGCCCTCCTGGGGTAATTTTGCTTTTTGTACAATGTTTAAAAACTAAATAAAGTTTGGAAAATTTTAGCTGTATTTCTTTTACCCTTTACTCCATGTATTTTTTCTCTCAACTCAATAAAGGACCAAAGGCATGTTTTACAGAGAGACTACACAATGTTAAACAAATCTACTTTAACTGATAAATAACATGTTTATTGCATATGTGACAAAGACATGAGGCAGTATAGTGTATTTGAATGCATGGTGGATTTATAATGGAGACATAGGCTGATCTTGCCAGATGAAAAAGGGGGCTGATTTTGAATAATCTATTGGGATGCTACCACCAACAGTGGACTGTAAACTTGCATTTGAGGCATAAGGTAGAGTATTATTAAAACCTCGCCATGTCCACTTCAAGTTCTTAGTTTTTAAATGTTTTTACATATATTACTATGTAAAACAAAATTTTTTTAATCATTCGTATTATTAACTGTTTTATGCTGTTGTATTTATTTGTTTTGCTGTCGCTTGTTATGCCTGTATTAAATGTTGACGGATGCCATGCAATTTTATATTTGTTTCACGGCAATAAAGATATTATTATTACTTTAAAGCCTCCCACTTGATCTGCGCCCCATTTGATCTGCCACGAATGGACTAAGTTAATCTGTTTCTTTAACCAGTACCATTTTTTTAAACTCCAGCGACCAATTAAGGACCTCTGGTTAAGTAGCTGATTAAACAAAACTGCTGTTATTAAAACCATTCATCTTCAACTCCAGTTGTAGATATATGAGTATCTGCTGTTATACTACTCGATTATATTTTGGTCATCATATTTTAGTCAGTGTGGTGATGTGAACATTATCACCTGATAATATTTATTATTTGATTTGTTTGTAAATATTGTATTTGTTCTTAACTAAAACATGGTTGTAATTTTGAATGAATAAAAGCCATACTTTTGGTTTACTAAGTCTTTCTTACAACAATTTTATTCATTCATTGATAAACTCAGTTAGTGCTACATTACAATGGAGAAATTCCTTAGACCAGACAAATTGCAAATTGACCCGGAATCTCCAACTGCCTCAGAGGAATGGACGCACTGGTTACAAACATTCGAAGACTTTCTAACCATGACAGAATTCGTTGAGGACAAGGCCAAACTGAAACTACTAACTAATCGATTATCTTTTACTACTTATAGATTTATCAAGGAATCTGAAACTTACCAAGACGCTTTGAGAGTTCTTAACTCAATTTACATCAAACAAAAGAATGAAATATTCTCAAGATATTTAGTAATGACTAGAAAACAGCAACAAAGGTGAGACTATTGACAAATATGTGTCGGAACTGAAACTTTTGAGCCAAGATTGCGTTTTTGAAGCTGTTAATGCGATTCAATACAGGGATCACTACATTTGTGATGCTTTTATCAATGGCTTAGCCTCGTCATACATACGACAGAGACTATTTGAAAATAAAACTTTAGACCTAGCTGAAGCAGTGGAACAGTCTAGAGCTCTTGAAATGGCTCAAGCTCAAGTCGAGAGCTATCCAAAATCTATGTACGGAATGCAAACTTGTGCAACGAATGAATTGGCAAAGCAAGCTTGTCAGTACGAATTCCCACTACAACAAAAGGAAGAAGCGACTGTTTCCGCTATTAAAAATGTTGATGGCAAGTGTTATTTTTGTGGGCATGACAGACACTCTAGAGATCGCTGCCCAGCCAGAGAAGCAACTTGTGGGAAATGTAACAAGACAGGGCATAATGCGAGAGTCTGTAAAAGTAATCCAACTCAACATTTTAAAGTAAAACAGAAGACGTCTAGTACATCAGCTGCACTAATAGCAACAACACATAATACATCTGTATATTGAAGGACTCTACAGTGGAAGCTAAAGTGAATGGCCTGAAAGCAAATTGCTTAATAGACACCGGGATTACATCAAGCTTTGTAAACTTGAAGTTTGTTCAGTTAAACAAAATTAAAATGTATAATGAAAGTGGACAAGTATCACTAGCTGCTTCTAATATGAAATTAAACGTCCACGGGTTTGTTAAAATCAACCTAAATCTGTTGAATCACAATTACAACAATTTTAAGTTGACTGTTCTTGAAGATCTTTGTACTGACGTGTTTATCGGACATGATATCATGAAACTCCACTCAAATATACAGGTTTGGTTTGGAGGCAAGAAACCTCCTCTGTTGGTGTGCTCCTGTGCCAAAGTTGAACCACCCAAACTATTCTGCAATTTAACTCCAGATTGTAAGCCAATAGCCACAAAATCACAACGTTACTCAGATGAAGATATGCAATTTATAAAACAAGAAATGGAAAGACTACAGACTGAGGAGATCATTGAACCTAGTTCGTCACCTTGGCGTGCACAAGTGTTGGTTGTTACAAACGACAAAGGGAAGAAGCGTCTGTGTGTGGACTATTCGCAAACGATAAACAAATTTACTCTGTTAGACGCCTATCCCTTACCAAACATAGATGATCTAGTATCCACTGTAGCGACGAACAAAGTTTTTAGTGCCATTGATCTAAAGCAAGCATACTATCAAATACCAATTTCTGACGAAGAGAAGAAGTACACTGCTTTTGAGGCTGCTGGTCGTCTTTTTCAATTCAGAAGAATCCCATTTGCCGTAACCAACGGGGTGGCATGTTTTCAAAAGACCATGGACCAAATCATTAGAAAAGAAAAACTGAATGGAGTGTATGCCTATCTGGATGATTTGACCGTGTGTGGAAAGGATCAAAAGGATCATGATGAGAATCTAAGAACATTTTTAGATGCTGTAACTAAGTATGGACTTGTAATCAACAACGAAAAGAGCAAGATCAACCAGTCTTCAATAACCTTGTTGGGACATTTAGTTTCCCATAACTCTATTCGACCTGATCCAGATCGGCTAGAATCTCTACTGTCACTTCCTGTGCCCAAAGACCGAGTTTCACTAAAGCGAGTCCTAGGATTTTTCGCTCACTATTCAAAATGGATACATCGGTTTTCTGATAAAATAAGAAACCTGACACAAGTCAATTCTTTTCCTTTGTCACAGGAAGCGGTTGCAGATTTTGAAGCCCTCAAACTTGACATTGCAAACTCAGTAATTACTCCTAGGAATGGGCAAGAGCCACTGGTAGTGGAGACTGACGCATCTGACATAGCCGTGGCAGCAACTTTGAGTCAAGATAATCGACCAATTGCTTTTTTCTCACGGACTCTAAACAAATCTGAGAAGCTGTATTCAGCTGTTGAAAAAGAAGCCGTTGCCATTGTCGAAGCCCTTTGAAAATGGAAATCATTTCTTATCGGAAGAGACTTCAGATTATACACGGATCAGCAAGCTTTTATCATTTATCTTTGACAAGAGGCATACAAGCAATCAAGAACGATAAAGTTATGAGATGGCGACTAGAGCTAACACCTTATCAATATGAAATAGTGTACCGACCTGGTAGGGAGAATGTAAAAGCAGATACGCTCTCTCGGGCATGTGCGGTTCGCTGGGATAATGCCAAGTTGTTTGAATTACACAAATCTCTCTGCCATCCGGGAGTCACTCGAATGTTTCATTGGATTAGAACTAAAAATCTAAACTACACTCTGGATGATGTAAAAAGGATGACTTCAGCTTGTCAAACATGAGCAGAAGTGAAGCCAAGATTTCACCAATTCCAAGGCAAATTGATAAAGGCAACCACTCCCTTCGAACATCTAAATATTGACTTTAAGGGCCCTCTTCCATCAACAACCAGAAACCGTTACCTTTTAACCATGGTGGATGAGTATTCTCGTTTTGTATTTGCTTACCCCTGTAAGGACATTAGTTCAACAACAGTTATCAGATGTTTTTCAGATCTATTTTTTATGTTTGGAGCCCCGTCCTTTGTACATTCAGATAGAGGTTTATCTTTCATGTCGCGAGAGCTGACGGACTTTCTTCACAAGTACGGAGTAGCTACAAGTCATACGACACCTTATAACCCTAGAGGGAACTCTCAGATTGAACGCTTCAATGGAACAATATGGCGAACCATCCTACTAGCTTTGAAAAACCACAACCTGCCAGTTGCTGCATGGGAAGAAGTATTACAGGAGGCTCTTCACTCAGTCAGATCTCTTTTATGCACTGCGACAAACTGCACACCGCACGAAAGATTCTTTATACATAGCAGAAGAACTACCAATGGAGACTCCTTACCATCTTGGCTATCCGCTCCTGGTCCTGTCCTGTCCTGCTTAGAAAGTTTGTAAGATCTAATAAATATGATGACCTTGTGGAGCCAGTTCAACTTTTGGAATCAAATCCACAGTATGCTCTCGTCAGAAGAAGAGATGGGTCAGAATCACAAGTATCCCTGAGACATCTTGCACCCGCTGGCCTACCTCCTGGTGATCTACCTCATGAAGACAACACTACTGAGAGAGAGATTGTTGAAAATATAAATTCAGACATTGACCACAATGAAGTTCAAAATGAAACTCAACAAACAGTATCTCAGACCCCAACTTCAGAGACGGCTGTGGGGGAACTTCTCAGACCCCAACTTCAGAGACGGCTGTGGGGGAACTACGTCCAAAGAGGAATGTCAAGCCTCCGTCATATCTAAAGGATTACATATGCTATACCTACCTTGAAAAATAGTGGGGGAGAATGTGGTGATGTGAACATTATCACCTGATAATATTTATTATTTGATTTGTTTGTAAATATTGTATTTGTTCTTAACTAAAACATGGTTGTAATTTTGAATGAATAAAAGCCATACTTTTGGTTTACTAAGTCTTTCTTACAACAGTCAGATAATAGTCAGATCATATTTTTAGAAAGATTGCAAATAGAAAAGTGAGCTCTAAAATGTACCTACATTAAAACAATAGCCAGGGGCCATCACAGAAGTTTAATGTATGACTCCCTCTAATAACATTTGCGTGTGTCTATGTGTTCACAGGATAGTGGTAAAATTTTATTCCTACTATTTTGGTTGAAACTTGTCTGAGGATTCTAAAGAATCAGAAACTCAACCAGCCTTCTTTCGAGGAAAGAGAACTTGACTTAGGAAAAGGGAGGGGGAATAGCTGAACTACTTTATAAATAACTTGCCCAAGAAAGTAATTTCAAGTTTTGATAGCACACAAAAATGTAAATCAATAACCTGTAAGTAACTTTAAAATACAAAATGTTTTGTCACTTCCAGACTAGTAGTTCTAATAGCTAACAGATGAATTGTATTTACATCCCTTCCTTCACAAACCCTCTTCATCCTCAACTATTTATGAGGATTGTCTGTAAACTATTGTCTCCATTGAGTACTTGTTTCAACCGAGTAAGCTAAACCTGAAACCAGTATTATCTTCTTGTTTACTTTATCCGCCAATATTCTAGCTTATCTCCACCCCATGTGAAAATTAATCTTGCCATAGACTAGTAAAATCCATCAAAGTAAAGGAATCAACAATTTCCAAGTTTTAGTTGCTTTTGTGATAATATTTCTATGGTCTAAGTCGGGTCAACCAGTCAACGTTACTGATTGGCAATGATGGACGTAATTAAGCGGTTGGACATACAAATTAACAAAGAAATGTTGCACGTGGATCTGTGTAAATGAACACGAGATTGCAAAAATAGGAGTCTCTAAGACTATAAAGTACATGGATAAACCCAAATGTAATATTAAACTTGTCAATCAGTAAGCATAAAACTCCTCCAGTTGAAACACTCTGCCTCAATGAAAACAGATGAGCACTGACGGATCGTTGAGTACATGTCTACAGCCTTCCTAAGCGACCATTGCACATTTTTTACGTAAGCATAGAGCACAATTTTTGGTGGGAAAATTAAGCTTTCTTCACACAATTTTTAGCTGCAATGAAAAGATTTTTCTTCAAATAGGAGTGGAAACTGACTAGAATAATAACGGATGAAGTAAAAAAAAAACTACGTTGGTTTCTCACGTGGTCTGTCACAACGACCTCACTAAGTTGTGACAGAGGCCTTTCCCAACTGCATCATTGGGGTGTAAGAATTTGTTTTCCAAGTGGTCATACAATATATATCCAAGGTCATTTCCATTCTAAATACATGCTTCCGTCATATCATTTAGCATGGAATAACAGATTTTTTAACTGTTAACAATTGTGCTATCAACATTCATCCATCCTTTAAAGTTTAAACAGATCTATGATATTGACTCAATAGTCTAAACTAAATCCATATTATACATCATATAATAGTCAATGATGACTAATTCTTCCTGACTAAAATTACAGTTAAGTTAATTAGTCAATGAACATATCTATTAGTACAAGATAAGGCGCCCTTCAACATTATGACAAAACCTTCAGGACTATAATTCTGATAATGTGACATCTGATAATTGTAGGCCTACACTTACTTAGAGGTATGCCTGTTTAATCCAAGGTCATTTCAATTCTAAATACATGCTTCCGTCATATCATTTAGATAGGTGTAAAACTTCAAAGTTGTCATTGTCAGTTGTGAAGACAACACCACACACGTCAGGACATGTGCTAATGGAAGAGCTAAGGACTAGAATGGTATGTAATACATCCACAAAAAAATGTTTTTTAGAAATTGCAAGTTTGGGAGAAGTGGTTTTTTAATTCCCTAGCACTATTGTTTTTACTATTGCTTGAAGTTGCTGTAACGAAGCACAAGGAATGAAAATGATGACATATTATTACTTCCAACAAAAAATAATAAAAATACTTTCAGCTTCAGCTAAGGAAAATTTCACAATATTCTGGAAATATGCATAACTTTAAATTTTTGTTGCAACCACTAAAAACTGTTATTGTTAATTTACAAGTGTACAATTTTTAATAAATAATGATATTTGTTCAGAAATATTTTTATCTCTGCCTTAAAACCATTTAGTACATTCTGTAACTATTTTTTTAACGTTGTAATTGCTCTAAATATTTTCTTTCATGTTTAACTGTCTTTAATCATCAAGAAATAAGCAGTTCTTAATTTACAAACTTGTATAAAGGAATTTAATAATTAATAGGTAGTGTTAAAACACACAAAATAACAAAAATAAATAATATTCAAGAGTTAGTTAATGTTGAAAGTTAGCCAGGGTAAGGGTAAGAATGTAGGGCAATTTTTTTTCTTCCAAAAATATGAAGGTAGACTTTTATTAACAAAGCAAGACGAAATTGTGATGTCACCTTTCTATTTTCATGAATTTTACTAAATCAAATAGATTTAAGTTATACAATTTTATTCAAAATCTATTCTTAAACAACGTTAATGATTCATGATTATGATTATTGGCCACTTTGCACAAAACTTATCATGAATAAAAAATAAATCAAGTAAAAAATCTATCCTTTTACTCTGTTAGTGCAATTCTTTGAGCATTAATTTATTATTCTGCCTTTTTACACTGACAAGAAAACTAATTGTGATTGTGAGCGCCTAAAATAATATTTAATAGCAACTTTTGCGTTTAGAAAAACTAAGCAATTTGAAGAAAAAATCAAAATCAAATAAATTAAACTAGTTGAAAAATGCAAAAGACAAACATATTACAACTATTACATCCATCTGTGTTCATCCTTTAACAGTTTCTCGTGTGTTTTTACAGCTCAATCTTGCTGTGATTGCAAGCCTTCTATTCTCTATCTGTAAGGCAGACTCTGAAGTTGGCAATTATGGTGTCAGTGAAGCCTCCTCTTACCAAAATTACTTACCCAATGGAGCTAATATGAGGCCACAACAACAACTACTACAACAACAATTACTACAACAACAACTACAACAACAACAATTACAACAACAACAACTACAACAACAACAGCATCAGAATCATTTTGGTAAGAGTTATTAACCCTTTGTACTCCGCACTTGATAAAATTCAACACAGAAGTAACTTAACTTCCATTTGCAGCTTATCTATGTTAGTAAAACCATACTCAATGGTAAAACTCAACAAAAATGGCTGAAAGACATAGGTAGCATGTGCTGCAACTGCAGCCTGGGTGTAGAGTTAAACTACTACACTTTTGTTGATGTGGTGGTTGTCTCAGCAGCCAGGAGATTTAGGGTTGGGCCGGCCACACACAGAATCAGGCAAGGCGGGGCGCGACATGGCATTTTGCCCCCGGGCGTCTTGTGCGACGGGAATTGCACGGGCGCTTATGGAGCTCCACACACAGGACCGGGCGAGGCAGGGCACGTCGAAAAGACACCCCCGGCGCCCTCAGGGCAAAATGCGAAGGTCTCCAAAATTATGCCCCGAGGCAAGTCGCTGCCGGGCAGAACTTTCTGCGCATGCGCGGTCATGTGATTTATTCCCTTACGGGCTAATTTTGATAAGGATTATTTTACAACTGATACAATTTACATACAAGACTGTAACAATTTATACGACCAAAGATTACACCCTTTGATAAGACTATACATAGATGATATTACTACAGTGGTTGAATAATTAATAATTTATCTTGGTATTGATAACTGAGGAAAGAGAGGGCCAACGTTCATATCTTAAGGGTTTCAAAAACCACTCCTCTGGAGGTATGACTTTGAATTTTGTTTTCTATTCTGCTCCCAAGTATAAAGTCAAATTCAAAAGTTGGCTTAATCGGCTCAAGGCTCAGAAATAAAAAACCCTATATTAATTTTCAGGTTTATGGGGGCTAAACTTTTTACTTGACGTGCCCTGCCTCATTCTGTGTGTGACAGCAACAAGACAGGGCGTCTCGTTGTGCCCTGTCGCGCCCCGACCCGCCTGGTTCTGTGTGTGGCCGGCCTTGTAATCCTGCCTCGGTTAGCACTAGTGTGCATTACAACTCACAAGTTCACCTGCTCTGTCTGTGACAAAGCTGGTGAGAAGGGTTCTCTATGATAAACAATAAGGCCGGCCACACACAGAACCGGGCGGGTCGGGGCGCGACAGGGCACAACGAGACGCCCTGTCTTGTTGCTGTCACACACAGAATGAGGCAGGGCACGTCAATTAAAAAGTTTAGCCCCCATAAACCTGAAAATTAATATAGGATTTTTTTATTTCTGAGCCTTGAGCCGATTTAGCCAACTTTTCAATTTGACTTTATACTTGGGAGCAGAATAGAAAACAAAATTCAAAGTCATACCTCCAGAGGAGTGGTTTTTGAAACCCTTAAGATATGAACTTTGGCCCTCTCTTTCCTCAGTTATCAATACCAAGATAAATTATTAGTTATTTAACCACTGTAGTAATATCATCACTGCATAGTCTTATCAAAGGGTGTAATCTTTGGTCGTACAAATTGTTATAGTCTTGTATGTAAATTGTATCAGTTGTAAAATAATCCTTATCAAAATTAGCCTGTAAGGGAATAAATCACATGACCGCGCATGCGCAGAAAGTTCTGCCCGGCAGCGACTTGCCTCGGGGCATAATTTTGGAGACCTTCGCATTTTGCCCTGAGGGTGCCCGGGGGCGTCTTTTCGACGTGCCCTGCCTCGCCCGGTCCTGTGTGTGGAGCTCCATAAGCGCCCGTGCAATTCCCGTCGCACAAGACGCCCGGGGGCAAAATGCCCTGTCGCGCCCCGCCTTGCCTGGTTCTGTGTGTGGCCGGCCTAACTTGATTGTAAGTTGACGGGAGGGTCAATTCCTTGTGAGATCCTCAAATCAGGCATTTTACTAATTTATGCTTATTGTTACTATGTCTTTGTGTCACATTTTAGATAACTTTGTTTTTTAAATTTAAAATAGAAAAAATATATTCAAAACTGAATAGTTCATGCACTTCAAAGGGTAAACAAAAGCGAAAAGAGGGTAGATGGTCGTAACCAGAAATATCTAATCTCGAAACCAAAACATAAGTAATCAAATACCGAAGCTCAAATTCCAAAACCTAGATACAAAACCTTTATTCTTGCCTAGTTCAGGTTAAAAAAATACAGATAATATAATAAAATATTCACTATGAATTTAAAACTGATAGAAATTAGACTCCTAACCTAACATAAATAACATTACTGTAATATGCAACAAACATACTTTAAATCTAAAATAAATAAAAAACATATTATTAAAAAAAATTAAAAACTGAGATAAATTAAACATCTAATACTGGAACAATAACATGATTATGAAATCAATTTGAACATTTATTTAGTGGTCAATAAGTTTCGGTTTAGCGTTTTGAATTTCAAAACTTGCTGATTGAATCTCGAAATTGAATGGGTTAAGTCAGCTATAGTATGGTGAAGTATGCTAGAATACAGTAAATTTACCAGTCAGTTTTGCAATAAGTTTTGCCCACACTAAATAGACTTGCACACCAACAATGCTGATATTTTGTTATTTTGAATCACTTTGATAAACGACTGTCATTGTGTAGAGTATTAAGATCACTTAATATTTACTTTATTACAGAAGATTGCATTACAATAAAGAATATTGTGAAAACCCACATAAAACAATAGCTAGTCAAATGAAATTAGCTCAAATCTGCTGTGTGTTGCATCCAAAAAACCGGTATGATTTTCAGTACTGGTAGTCCATGTTTCCAAAGTAGCGTAACAACAGAACTACGAGCTGCTATAGGCATAAAACATTACAAGAATCAAGTCTAAAACTTGTAATCAAAAAATATTTGAATAAATCATTAACGATGTATGATATTGTTGAAGCTTGAATTGGACAGGATGACAGCTCTTTCATTCCTACACCACTGGTGCTGACTGTAAAACATCTTCTATTAGTTTAGACACATATTTGTGTAGCTGATTGTGTACTGTACTGTATTTTGGAATAATGTTGTTATATGACGCAGGGGGTGACAGATCAGACCGATTTTTATACCCGCCTCGCAGCTACTACGCTCGCTGGGCAGCTGACGAGGAACGAAAAGACAACAACCAAAACAACCAGTGGCAAAACTGGCAGGGACGACCGATGCAGTCCAACTACAACAACTAAAGATTATAAACAGCCTTATTTTGAACATGTTAAATTCAAATGGAAAAGATGAGTTGTTCAAGAATGCAACAGGTTTTACTGCTACAGTGTTATACATATTAAAATAAATAAATTCAGCTGATCTAAATTATTATTTTGCTTCGCTACACTATTTTTAAGGTAGAATGTTTGGTTAAAAAATGTAGAGCTCATCATGTTTGATCAATTAACAAATAAATACTAGAATAAATAAAAAAACCTCATTACTTGGGTTTTTAAGTAGGCTACCGTACTATTACCTATCCTTGGAAACCAAATATGTTACCTGAATGGTGGGGGAGCACATTCGTAATGCCATGGTAGAAATCCTGGGATCATTGGAGAACAGAAAAGTACAGAACAACATTAAAATTTTTCTTTTCAAAAGTTTACAATTTGTTAAGTAAGAAATTACCAAAAAATAAAAGTATTCTAGAGTTCATCTTTATTGATTCTTAAGGCAACAAATCACAGATCGATCTAAAAATATTTTATTTTGTAAAACAGCATAACAATAATAATAACAATTTACACATGCAAATAAATTAATCAGTTACAAAACATCAAGAGAACGTCCGTATGACAGAGTTGGAAATGGCACACCAAACCATAAAACTGATAGAACCTAGTTGTCCACCCGGCCAACACAGAACACTGCCTACTGGATACACCCAGTCTGGGTCTAACTGTACCACAGGTTGTGAATTGTACGTGTACACCATCACGATACACACCAGGCCCTGCAACAAACCATAAAACTGATAGAAACTAGTTGTCCACCCGGCCAACACAGAACACTGCCTACTGGATACACCCAGTCTGGGTCTAACTGTACCACGGGTTGTGAATTGTAAGTGTACACCATCACTATACACACCAGGCCCTGCAACTAACCATAAAACTGATAGAACCTAGTTGTCCACCTGGCCAACACAGAACACAGCCTACTGGATACACCCAGTCTGGGTCTAACTGTACCACGGGTTGTGAATTGTACGTGTACACCATCACTATACACACCAGGCCCTGCAACAAACCATAAAACTGATAGAACCTAGTTGTCCACCTGGCCAACACAGAACACTGCCTACTGGATACACCCAGTCTGGCTCTAACTGTACCACAGGTTGTGAATTGTACGTGTACACCATCACTATACACACCAGGCCCTGCAACAAACCATAAAACTGATAGAACCTAGTTGTCCACCTGGCCAACACAGAACACTGCCTACTGGATACACCCAGTCTGGCTCTAACTGTACCACAGGTTGTGAATTGTACGTGTACACCATCACTATACACACCAGGCCCTGCAACAAACCATAAAACTGATAGAACCTAGTTGTCCACCTGGCCAACACAGAACACTGCCTACTGGATACACCCAGTCTGGCTCTAACTGTACCACAGGTTGTGAATTGTACGTGTACACCATCACTATACACACCAGGCCCTGCAACAAACCATAAAACTGATAGAACCTAGTTGTCCACCTGGCCAACACAGAACACTGCCTACTGGATACACCCAGTCTGGGTCTAACTGTACCACGGGTTGTGAATTGTACTTGTACACCATCACTATACACACCAGGCCCTGCAACAAACCATCAAACTGGTAGAACCTAGTTTGTCTGGACGTTGTCTCCTTTATAAAAATTGTAAAAATTCCAACGCTAAAAATGCTAACCAACAAAAACATGACAATTATTTTCATTGACATGCTTACATGTTCTCTCGAAATAAAAGACAGTTCAGAAGTTGGCTTAGTCCTACCATTCTTTCTATTTTATACAGTCCATTACAAAAAAAGTGGATTCCAATAACTAGAAGCTTTGCAAATTCACATTAGCCTACAACAATAACGGAATCATTTTAAAAGTTTTTTTTAATTTTGGGGCTCCAGTGTTACTTTCTTATAAATAGGCATAAACCAACTAACTGTTAAGTTGCTTTGCCAACAGAGCAGAGGAGTGTAACACACATTTTAATTCTAGTACTCCACCCTCATTTAACCAGATTTTCCTTGTTCATTGAATTAGAAAATAAATTTTTGTTCACATTTTTTTGTTGCCTATTGCATGAATATATAAACAAACATACTTACCACAACTATGCGTAATATCAGTTTGTTTTTCATTTCCTCCTCTTTGTGAACTGACACTGAAAAAGGATAAAAACCTTTTATGGATGAGTCATCAAAAATTTGAAACTTATTTCAAAAATATTAACCTTAAAATAAAAATGAAATTTTACTATCACAACAAAGTTGTTGCAAAAGATATGATTTTTTAAAAGCTCTATCAAACGTTAAGACTTGATTTCACCAGCCTAAAGAGTTTGGACTCATTTAAAATTTGCTATGACTAAAGTACCGAATCCTGAGTGTAAGTTACCTACTTAGTAGTTGAAGATAAGTGCAAAAAATATAATGCTTAGCGGAAACTCTGCAAATAACTTACCTATGGTCCGAATGTTTAGGTTTTATTTGATTTATAATGAAAATCCCCAATAAAATAAACGGTGGACGGCTTAGGTGTAAGTTGATGGGGCAGGTGGTTTTTTTTGTTTGTGATCAAGCACACCTATTGCTAAACTTTAAACTCATTCTTACAGTTATAGTAAGTATGTTTACCAAACCTTATAACATTAATTTAACATACCTATAATTTTATTTACATGATGAGGGAAAAATGGGAACGGTTAAATCAATGAATAATATTATTAGGGACTCTGAAAACTAGAGCTACAGAAATTGCTTGTTTTATATTTGAACGTACTGTAGGCCTACACATAGCCTAAGTAGGCTATTTGTACGTAAACATTGGAGATCAGATAATATAAAAAAAAGAGTAAAACATACCTTCTTTTTTCAATTCCTCTTGTACTTTGATTATTTTCCTCTGCAGTCTTGCATATTTTGCAAACTCGTTGGTCATATCTATGCTGGTTGATTCTTTTTGAAGCTCTGATAATGATTGTCTCAACTCTTGAAAACGAGATGTTTGGCAAAATTTATTTTTTATCATAGATATCTGAAAAATTGTACAAGTTCTAAAGATACTTTGTTTAACTATTGTTTTACTGAATTGGCTAATGCAAAGTGTAGTCATCATTTTTTGTTGATTTGGCCAAATAAAATTATGTTATAGAACTGAACTACCGTAGGAGTGAGTTATTAACATTACGTATCACTGGAGAGAAGACGATTACACTCTGACTGAGACACACTCTTGTGGAAAAATATGCTTTCAATAAGTTAGCACATTTTCCTAAGTTATAGTAACTTATTTGTTTGCGTTTCGGCTGCACTTTACTATCTGTCCTACCTATAATCCTATGTATAGATTATTCGATATATCGATTCTCACATTCGGTTGGTTAGGTTAGGTTAACCTAACTAACCAAACTCGATATATCGAATGAAATAATCGATATATTCATTCGAATGAGTGTAGGACAGATACTTAAGTGTAGCCTGCGTTTCCCTGGGTATAGCCTAGATAATTCACTTTCATTTGGTGTGTAGGATGGGAACTAACTTAACTCACTCCTGTTCATTTCACCTTTAGCTTTGAATTTGGTAGTAAAATGGCCCTGTTAGGAACTGTGCCTTGCTGCTACCTACTGAGCATTTACACATAGACAAACACCTAGTAGTATAACCAGCCATAGTATGGCTCTGGTTTGAGGCTAAGTTAATTTAAGTTAATAAGTTAATTTTATAGAGTTTAGGACATTTAGTTCCGAGAACCGGCAGAATCCCATACAAAAGTTAGGCTATAGGCTATATTAAGTTATTAATATGGGGAATCGAGGTTAGTTAACGTCAGAAGTAACTAACTTTTGATTGCTTCTGGGCCAACCTAACCTAAGGGTTAAATTGTAATAGCCTATTCCTGTTAACCTGTGATTTCTTGTGTTCTGTTTAGCCTATTATAGCCCTACTTAGTTGTGGCCTACATGAAGAACATAGACCTAAATAAAGTGTAGGCCTACAAAGATTCTTCATATTCTCCTTTTGAAGAAATACCCAGTGAATAATAGGACCCTACCACTAGATTAACACGTTCAATGCGGGTGACAAGTAATATCGTCATCGTTGGCACTGTCAAGCGGCGCGCGGCGATTACACTCGTCAAAGCACTAACTACAAAATGATTGCCTCGATATAGGCTAAGCTGAGCCATTGACGGAGGATGTTGTTTTTTGCTGCGCTGTTTGAAGTAAAGCTTTTGTGTTTCCTCAGGCGGCATCGTTCCCATCGCACATGGTTTTTGTTATTTGTGTGTTACTTATGTTTTTGTGTTTTAGTGTGTTATTTGACGTAAGTGTTGTGCAATACCGTAGTGAATGATTATGGCAAATCCTTTTCAGATTGATGACTTTCTCACTTAAGATGAACTAACTTAGGAGATAACTTAATACGGGCAAAAACCGTTTACAACACAAACTAAGGATTACTCTTGGTGTCTCGTGCGTCGGTTCTACATGGCAGCCGGACGGGTACGGCACATGACGAGTATTCCCTTCACGAATGATTAAGTCACATATATCTTTTTAAAAATGTTGACGAAATAACACCAGATCATCATCCAAAACAACATTTGGGAAGTTAACTTAATTTGAGTTTTCATATTTTAGCCATACGAGTAATAGGCCTATAGCCAATTTCGGTGCCGCGTTGAACGTGTTAAGGATGTAAATGGGTACAGTTTCTTAACTGGGCTATGCTAATATCGATTGAAACTATCGATTCGATTAGTAAACCTTCATGTAATTTTTTCATCATCAGCAAGTTTGGTTGGTTCGGTTAGGCCTAGGATAGTTTATTTTATAATAGATAGCCTATATTTAAAAATATCGATTATTAATCAATATTTTCAATTTGTTAGTTTCAATCGATATAAGCATAGCCCAGTTAAGAAACTGTACCCATGTAAACAACTATTCTAAATCAGTAAAAGTAAGATCTAGGCTAAGTTAGTGCTAGTAAAATAGGCCTACTAGGCCCTAGTCCCAATCTAATTCGATGAATTAGATGTAGGCTTACCTTTTCTATCGTCTAATACTTACATATTTCAACAATGATGATAAATAATTGTTTATAACTCCTAATAAGATAGCAATAAACAACAAATGAGTGTTAAATGTGGGTCCTGAAGAGTCTTCATTTTGACTATCCATAGTTAATTGGTTGGCAAATTCGTTATTACTTAGGCTACTAGTTGACTCAATCGAACATGAGTGCAGTAAGCTTAAACCTAAGATCATACAGATGAATTAAACTGGTAATATTTTTATACTAAATTAAATTAATTAAATAACTTTGTTTACCAACAAGACCTAGCTAACGAACAATGAAAACAATGTTGTTTTTTTACTTTGACGTTAACCTAACCTCAACCTCAAACTCTTCTTCTTTCCCTACTCCATAGCAAACAACAAAAGAAAAATAAATAATACATATTAAGATTATTTATATATATATAAGGTTAAGATTGTATTTTTATTTCTTATTCTTCAGAGGTTATGGTTGTGTGTGAATTATGATGAATGTTAAAGAAGAATTATTGTACATCTTAGAAAGCGTGTGCTTGTAATGAAAAAATAAGAAAAAACACAATATTAAACATCATGCATCAACATAATTCGAAACAAATTTATTTAAAAAAAAAAATAAAGAAATAGGACATAATCATTAATAATAAAAGCCATTGGCTAAACAATTTAACACTATATTTTTCTCAAACAAGACACATGCAGTTAAAATTAAATTCAAACACCATAGCATAGACTAACCATTAACCAACACAATGACTAAAGGACTTATATGTTCAACCACGGCGACCTCTAACTACAGGCCGCGGCTTGGTCATGGTGGAAGGAAAAAACATAGGTGTGCTATTCCCACATATTCTGACATCACTCGGACTGCAAACAAAAGATCACCTGATTGTAACTGTCAAATTAGTATATGTATTTGTTTTGATTTGGTTGTTATTGTTTTTATAATAATAAAAACAAATACATACTAATCTGACAGTTACAATCAGGTGATCTTTTGTTTGCAATCCAAGTGACGTCAGAATATGTGGGAATAGCACACCTATGTTTTTTCCTTCCACCATTTTCCACCATGCAGCTTGGTAGAATTGGCAACGTCGCAAATGGTGTTGTCTAGCGCCTAGCGCCAGAAGTCTATTAAGATAACATGGCAGACAGGTGACAAGCTCATTATTTCACGTATTATTCATTAAAATTAAAATTTATGAACATAAATTTATTGAAAGATTAAAAATAAAACATATAGAATTAAAAACAAAAACAATATTTAAATAGAAAATCAGTTTTCCTACTTTTAGAGTAGAGTCAATATTGTTATAGTCCAGTAACCAAACTTTCATAAATACACAAATATACCATTAGTTGCTGCCAAACTAAACAGCTGTTACAATACCACTTGCGACGTTGTCACTTCGAAGGCCGCGGCCTGGAGTTAAAGGTGGCCGTAGCTGCTGTCGCGGGGTACTGCCATAGATAAAACATACTCCTCAAGGCATACTCCTCAAGGCATACTCCTTGAAGAGTACTTTTTATCTATGTTGCGATGTTGCCATTTTGAAGGCCGCGGCCTGGGGCCCATTTCATAATAAACTACAAGTTACAAGTTACAACTTGTAACATGTAATTTCCATTAGATTTGCATTGGGTGATCAGCTGATTTACTAATAATATTAGTTTGTACTTTATTATGAAATGGGCCCCTGGAGTTAAAGGTGGTCGTGCATGTACAACGTGCAAAAAAAAGACTTGACTTTACAGGGCAGAGCAGCTGCAACGCTGCAACACTGCAGCACTGCTTGTGCCTGCCTGTACCTGGCTGTTGTAGTCATTGTCATGCCAAAGTCCAAAACAAACTGAAATTTGGTTTGTTTCTCTACTTTCTAACCTATAAGACCTAGAGTGTTAAAGTTTATTTATTTTTGTGTACAATTTGGATGTAATTTTAAACACCATTTTTATAATTTTAAATGACAATGAATGCAAGTGGGAAAATCAATTATGCTGGTCGTAATCCGAAGAAAAGGCGTTTTATTAAAAACAATATCTCGATAAGTAAGGTAAAGGCTGAAAACACTAACGATGTAAGTAAAGAAAATGTTTTTGCTAATATTGCTCACAAAAAATCAAGTGGAGCTAACAACTGGGCAAAGTTTTCTGAGTTATTATGCAAGAAAAAAGACTCTCAGAAGCCGAAGCCTCTTCCTCATAAAAATAGGGATACAAAGTCAACCTTGCCATTAGGCATAGATGATAAACAACCATCTAAATTCAACAATAGGCCTACAACTTCTGCCATAAGTAAAGAGAGTCAAAAATCTATTTTTTACTCTCAGACAGAAACAGGATCTTCAAATACTCAACTTCAAACTAAAGCTAGTGTCACTTCTGAAATTACAAAACCAAAACTAACAAAGCACATAGCTATGGACTGTGAAATGGTTGGTGTGGAAATTGGTGTCAATAAAAATATGTTAGCTAGAATTTCACTTGTTAACTCAAATGGAGATTGTGTGTACGATAAATTTGTTAAACCAACTGAGCCTGTATTAGATTATAGAACTAAAGTAAGTGGGGTAAGGCCCAGGGATTTGGAGAACGCCACAGATTTCAAAATAGTCCAAAAAGAGGTATCGGACATTTTAAAATCCCGCATTTTAGTTGGACATGCTCTGAAAAATGATCTAAAGGTACTTTATCTATCTCATCCTAAACATTCTATGCGGGATACATCAAAATTTAAAAAATTCCGAGAAGGGAAAACTCCAGCATTGAAAAAATTGGCTAAAAAGTACTTAGGAGCAACAATCCAAGAAGGAGAACATAGTTCTGTTCAAGATGCTTTTGCAGCTATGCAGCTGTATAAAATGTTCAAGAAAGAATGGGAAGCAAGTATCTATTCCAAGAAACATCAAATTAAAAAATGCAACAAAAATAAACCTCAACATTTCACATCAAAGGAATCTGTTGAAGTCATATAAAATGACAAAGAGTTCATAAACCTCCTAAAATGTGATTACACTGGTGTATTTTTCTTAAAACCAGTAAGGTAAGATTATTTGTTCATAAATAAATGTAAAATGTTGCAAACTGTAAAAGTTTTCCATTTTTTCCCCGAGTTTGGCTCAAAAGGGCCAGTTATATAAAAATAGGGGCCTACTTTTGTCTTTTGAGTTTTATTTACCCAGTGGCAGTGATAAGACAGTGCTGACCAGCCTGTACAGTTTTAATCAGTTAATCATTTTTATTCCATTTTTAATTATTTTTTTAAGCATGACAAGTTTTAATTTTTAATTATTGTGAGGTGGTCTAAATAAGGTAGCCTCCTCTCATACAAGGCCTCTCTCAGGGGTTGGTGTGTGGCAACACCACACCGGCCGGCCTATAGCCATGGTAATAACAACAATAAAAATGTGTAAAACATAAACATTACTCAGAAGCTTCATTTTATGAATTAGTGTAACAGCTGTTTAGGTGGGCAGGGGCCGGGACGTTGACAGTTTTATTTAGTCTCGTCGGAACCTTGATTTAGAGGAGGCCAAGGTTAAGGTCATTTGTTTCCATTGTGAAATTTAATGATAATAAAACAAATACAGGTAATTTAATTTACCTATTTTGCCTGAAGGTCTTGTAGTTGAACTTGTCATTACTCTATGCACATTTCGCCGCTCAGTGCGGCATCTTCATGGAGTTCTTAATTCTTCTTACACTAAATTCCTCATATTATACTATAGGCTACATATTTACATTAGGGGTTTTATCACTTCACGGTCACATTCGCGGTTGCCCAACGGCAGCGATACGAGCTGCGGAGTACAAGACCTTCAGGCAAAATAGGTAAATCAAATTATTGTATAGTACAGGTCTTGTCACTGGGTTCAAACAACAATAAAACAAAGTATGAATTTATAGCAAAATACATTTTAATGTTGGTATAAATTTGTACATGAACATTGAATACACTACAGAAGTAGAAAAACAATCTTTAAAGAAAACCCTTGTAGACGACGTAAGTTAGGTCTAAAAACAACGGTAAAAAGTGGATAACCAACTCATATCACTCAATGTATTCATTGACTCACTATGATGTCAACTTGCAAATGTGTGTATTTCAGAGATGATTGATTTGATAACAAAAACAGCATACTTATTTAATGAAGACTGTTTCGATAAAATAATCTTGTATAGGTTGATTGGTTCATCTATCTAGAACAGTGTTTTAAGTTGGCAAGATTTGCTTTGAATAGGGTAATAGGCCTACTACCTAGTATTTTATCTCTCTTGTGGTGTCACTAAATTTTTCAAAATTAGAAAATCACAATTATTCTGAACTTGTACTCAACGCTGACAAAACTTTTAATTTATTCAAATTAAATCAATACTATATAGAACTTATTTTATAGAAAGTCATTTGATTTTTTTTTTTTTTTTACTAAAAGCAATTTGCAAATAAGATGTTGGCCTATCATAACCATTTAAAGCTTACAGTAGGCCTAAAGCAAATGATGGGAAATAGCCATAGCAAGAATTCACATTTTGAGCAAATAAATATATCCTAAACCTTAAATTATAATGTGTATGTAACAATGAACAATTCAAGAATACAAAGATAATAATACAATAAAAAATCTGCTGGGTAATATCTTTGACAATCAATACAAATAATTAAATATTAATACTTCAGTATCCAATAGTCAATGGTAATATAGTAAGATAGTATAACCATAGACAAATAGAATTAAATGTAGCATCAGCAGTGCTGCGGTTAGCATAATTTCTGGCGTCCACCGCTGCGAGCGCCATGTAGTTACGTAACTTGTGCGCCGCAACTACATGGCGCTCTCAGCGATGGACGCCAGAACTTATGCCAACCGCAGCACTGCTGACGTTCGATATTTAATTCTATTTGTCCATGGTATAACGTTTTAATGGAAACAACTTAAATTGCTTAGTATTTTGTTGTTATTTGTATTCAGATCATATTAAAATATAAATTTATGCAATAATATAGGCGTAGGTTAAATTTATATTTATCAGATATTCACAAGCACATTATAGCCTACTTAACTAGTAGGCCTACGAATTAAGGTTTTATTTCGAATCTAATCAACTTATTGATTAAGGCAAATTAATAAATGTAAGTTAGCAGTTGGTTCTAAGTAAAAAAAATAATATTTCATAAACATTTATACCATATATAGATAGGACTTGACACCGTTATAATTTATAAAAAGTTTTTTCTCATGCTAAGGGTAACAAATTACACGTATTAATAAAATTAATTAAATTGTTTCCATCTCAGACAAGGCTAAAGAAAAGCCAGTCACATCCAGAATAAAACATTTTAAAAGTCTTCATGTTATGATATGAACGGTGCTATAATCATAACCAAAGATAAACTCCCCTCCAGCAAATTGAGCCGAAAGCAAGACATAACAAATTACTCAACAGAATTAGAATTAACTATTTGATCGTGAAGAGTTCGCATGTGTCGCAAGTAGTTACTTTTCACGTTAAATTCACGGCCGCACGTCTTACACAAGTACGGCCTTTCGCCAGTGTGAGTGCGGGCGTGAATCTGCATTGAAGCTTGCGACTGAAGCACCTGCAACAATGTAATAATGTTAACTTGGAATGATGAGTAAATTTGGAACTTGGAATAATTGGAGTAATATTTGTGCTAAGTCCTTACCAGGAATTGAAAAATTAGCCAGTCAACAGAAATCTTCTGCTGTGGCACAAGTATTTGGGAACCACTGTGAAGATAAAGTTCAGAAAACAAATTTAAATAATTTTAAGTAAAATATTCTGTACATACAGTTCAAGATTTTAAGATGGCAGTAATTATAATAACATAAAAATTAGGCTACTGTTGTAGATCCCTTTGAACCGAAATAGTATATAAATTTTTATGTGGTTGTACTAAGAACACAATTTACAATGGACAGGAGATCGTTAGAAGAATGATGAAACAAAACCATAGCTCAATAGACAGGCTACAATTCTGGTATCTAAAATGAAGCCCTGATAAGTAGATAAAGATCAAGTTCAATTATATATTTAATAACACATCAATCATAAGTAAATATTTTTTTCATCTATGATTCACAAAAATTATAAAAAATAAACATGTATAAAATGAAATTGTTTATTTCTAACATTAATTGACGCATATTAAAATGATTTAAAACTATAAACCCGTTCATATTTGAGCATAGCCGGGATCGCTTGGTTGCATAAAATGCCCCCCAAACATACCCAGGTACTCTTTGGGTACTTAGCATACCTTGCCACATACCGGACAAGCAATCTGCCCCCTCTGTCTGTTTAAGGCGTCAGATGTTTCATTAGCTTGGGCCAGCTGTTCTTCTGTGTGGTTCTTGATGTGTCTCACCCAATCAGCTGGTACTGTGAACACTTGTTGGCACAGCTCACAGTTCAGTGGACTATATTCTCCTGACCCGTCCCCATCCCCCTAAAAAACATTGTACATGATACACTTGCTACAACTTCAGAGTGTCAGTGATAAGGGAGTGTCAGTGATAAAAAATATAACGTAAGGTTCTTAGCATTGTAACTTTCAACGTGTCTTGTTAAATTCTTTAACTTGTTTTACTCCAAGCGTAAAATAAACCCAATAAAACACTTGCCCACATAAAAGAACATTTGTATTTGAGTAAAATTTAACTCCAACTACTGTGTTAATCAAATTGCACTAGACAATTTAACATTTATTACCATTCTGTAAAATTGAGTTGTACCGTAGGTAGCCTCCAGGGGTGATCAATGTTGTTTGTAGGCTACTCGTCATATCAATGCAGTTGTGTTGTTCTAAACCATAAGGTAAAACTAGGGTTTGTAAATCTGTATGAAAAGTTAATTACAGTTAAGATGAACATCTTGTTAGTTGTTAGCTGGGGAGAGTTAAAACAAATTTGTCAAAAGATAAAAATAATTTAATCACAAGGTTTTAACTTAGCCTTTAGGTTTGACAAAATTACTGCACCACGCAAACTTTAATGGCACTACACAGGGGTGCCCAGAGCGACAGCACACACAGTTGCGCACTTGGGCCATTGGGATTTTTTGGGGGGATTATATTTTGCATACAGTATTGCTATTGATGATTTTCAAGTTTTTCTATAAGACGCCGCAAAACTTTTTTTGTTAACTTCATACACCCTATTAACACCTGCAACATATCTTTGGCTATTCATAAGTGATATTAATTTGTTCTTCTATATTAGGTATTTTTTTTAAATAGACCCACCTTAAGGTTTTTTTATGTACCACGTTGTAAGAGGCACATGTCTCGTGCGACCAAATTCGGAAATTATGATTTTACAGGATATTGGGGAGGCATTTGTCTCATTACCCACGATATTCTAGGTTATTGTTCATTATGCAAATTTAATAATACATTATGAACCCGTTAATTTGAAATATCACTTAAAAACTTTAAATCGTTTTGATTAAATATTGTTAGGCCTATTTATTCTACACTTGTATTACCGCAAGTTGAATGGCCATATATTAAATGACAATTGAATGTCAATGTATTTCATATGTTCAGCCCCGGATAATTAACTTTGTCACCAGGTCAAATGTTGTATAACTATATGGTAGAACCTTCTCCTTGAGTTGGTCCCTAGTATACGATTTATTTTGTAATGTAAAAATAACTATTAACTCTTACTTAACACACTTAAGTTTCCCGTTACAAGATCTAACCGTGATCACAAAAAGCGATGGTGGTGAAGAACGGGGCAGCATACAATTAGGGGGAGGGGGGTATTTGCACCCCTGATATTGGTGGGGATGGTTACCTCTGGTGCTAAAATGTAACCTATCAATGTCATATTTAAAAGATTTAAATTTATATTTCAAATTAATGATGCCTTAATTTTGAATATTATAAAGACCTATTAATCCACCAAAAGTTTGATACCGGTAACTCACTTTAGTCTGTCTGTTTAATCCCAAGGCTGTGGTAGGATGATTTTGCTCAATGTGACGCACCCAAAGTGCTGGTGAACTGAACGTTTCTTGGCACAAGTCGCAAGTGAGAGGGACATAGCAACTATCTTCCACCTCTAATTCCTCTTCGGAAACCACTTCCTAAAACAAAAGAACATATTTTTATATTTCAAATAACGAGGAAATATTTAGTTCTATCTTTCTTGAAATAGTTTATCTGTGAAGCTGAGAAATATATTATACTAATGTAGTATGTTGAAGGAAATTATAAAAGTTTGGTAGGCTATGTAGTTTGGGTTGAATTTGTGTTTGGTTCTATTTTAAAACTGTTCAAACTTGTTTATTGCATAAATTGATCACTGCTAGTGGCAGACAATCTTGATTTTGCAATGATCGCATGTGGTGTTGATGATGTTCCCATGATTGCGGGATAAGTTCAGGATTCTGTTGTAACTGCGGGGAAGTTCCACCGATATAAAAGGAGGCCGCTAGGGTTATTTTGGCCTAAAGCCGCAGTTACCCTAAATCTGGCACTGAATGGATTTATTACTATCCTAATCACTAAAGTATGAATGAACTATAAAAACTGAAACTTACTTGTTTTACATTTGTCCTGTTTTCATCAGCACTTTTCTGTTCCTCCCAATCAATTGGTTCTTCTTTCACTTGGATTTCTTCTCCAACTAAAATTTTTTCTATCATATTATCTTCTATGGTTATCTCATCATTTGAATTTATTTCTAATAAAGGTCTCTCAGAATTTCTCTTCAGCTTTTTCTTTTCTGGAGGAGTTGTTATGGTGGGGTTTGGTGGTTGTTTTGAATAGGTTTTGGGATTATTTCTCAGAACAGATTTACTAGAACCAGTGTTATCTGTTTCATTTGACTCAGAACCATAGTTAACTTCTGGAATCAAAACTCTTTGATTGGGCGTTGTTTTTTCTGTGATATTTCTTACATCTGTACTATTTTTGTTTTTGTGAACACTGTTCCCGTCTTGCAGTCCTTTACTTTGACATAAGCCTCTGATTTTTAGAATTTCTGCAGCTCTCATAATGTGCGGTAATTGGTCATGACTGACAATCGCTTCCCCTCGGTAAATGTATTGAAGGAGAATACCCAGAGTAGAGTGGGTTATTTCAGATGGAAGAACTATAATTGTCTTGTTATTAGTTTTCACACTGTTGCTAGCGATGAAGAACATTTTGTGTAAGTAGGGACTACAAGCTGAGAGTACAAATTGGTGAGCGGAGAAATACCGGCAGTCTGCTGTAGCCAAAACCACATCAGTAAATGCGTCTGATCGATACAGGCCGGATATTGAGGAGTTTAAGTGTCCTGCATGACCATGCCACTTGAGACTGTAGCTGCCAGGGAACGCCATCACCACACTCTGAAAATAACAAGTTTTGAATCAAAGTCAGCTGTATTCGTTTTTACAACATTTCAAAAAATCAGACAATAGTCGTTTGAGTTGTCACGATAATAGAAATATATGTTTATTTAACAGATCATGTTTTGGTCTTTGGAGACATCAAAATAAAACAGTGAATCAGTCCCGTGTCCAGGTCTTACCATGAGACCTGCGGTAATACCTTATTTCTTGTATGGGAAATTTGCTATATAAACAAAGTTACAGTATTAACCGTTGTTCGAAATAAAACGTACAATCCTAGTTTAATTAATTGGCAAGTGGATTCTGTCTGTCTCACAATTGTGGAAAATAAATTAGGCAATGTTTACTACGGAAGCTAACAAACTATTTTGACTTAGGCTCTTTTAGTATGTACCTGAGGCCCCAGGTTTGGGTGTGAATAGCGCCCTTTGCTGCAAAAAGCTTTTGAGTCGCACCCTTTTCCACACAAAAAGAAAAAGAGTAGTTTTTTTTGTAATTTCCGCATTGAGATTTTCTTTAGAGTGAAACATTAAATAAGTTTACAACAACTAATTAAAGCAATATTGTAAATCTGTATTTTGCGCCCTTAAAATTTGGCCCGCTGGGCTACAGCTCTTCATATACAAAGAGGAGGCCTGGGGCATATTTCATAATAAACTACAAACTAATATTACTGTAGAGTCCCGCAAACTCGGCACTGGATAACCTGGCAGTCTGGATAACTCGGCCATCACCTGGCTCAGAAAACTAGTGATTTTTTGAGTCCGAGTTAAACATGATCACAAGCCAGCTCAAGTATAATCATTTGCAGCTCGTACTAAGGATTTGTTGTACTATATCTGATGACTTAACTTAATACTGACTTGTAATATAAATCTAACTGAAAAAGGCGGTTAAAAAGCTTAAAAATTGTATTGCTCTTATTTTTAACTCTAGTTCCCGATAACCCGGCATTTCACAAACTCGGCACCCTTCCAGTCCACATTACGCCGAGTTTGCGGGACTCGCCCAATGCAAATCTAATGGAAATTACAAGTTACAAGATGTAACTTGTAGTTTATTATGAAACGAGCCCCTGATGGACCTTGTACTGCTTGAATAAATTACCGTAGGCCTACCTAATATTACCATAAACTCATAACTTAGTGTTTTTTTTTGTTTTTCACATCATAAAGAATAACTCAGAAAATTCCATTGAACAAATGGCAAGTTAGGAAGTAGCCTAGTTTACTTAAAATATCTGTAGAAATTTACTACTTATTGTTAGAAAAGTGTAGTTTTTCAGTAGCCTATTCCTAAAACACACAAAAGTTCCATTTCCTGTTCATCAGCTGTTGAGCTGTTATATCTTGTTAGTAGAGATGGTAAGAATGCTTTGAAACTTATCATGAGGCTTCTGGATTGATTCTGAATCTGATTTCATTTTGAACCCAGCTGGAGCTGAGTTAACATTGAGCTAATGAGCCGTATTAATAAAAAGAAGGATATGCTCAAAAGGAAAAGGTATGAAGCAAAAGCATTTGCTTCTAGTAAAAGGTAAAAGTAAAAGCATATCCTTCAAACCGTATTAATAATGATTACCTTTTACTTCCGAGCAAATCCTTCTGCTCGGAAGTAAATGGTTCTTTAGGAACATCACATGTTACACGTCTGATCCTGTCTATTTTTGTCTACTGATATCCCTCGAAGGCTTAACTGTGCCAACTCCGCGTGTAATGGTTTTGCATCTGGCTTTAAATTTAATCATAACAAACTAAATTATAAAATCTAGAGTGTGTGGGCCGGAATTTTACCCCGGATTTTACCCCTAGAATCTTAACCCCTTTCTAGACATAGAATTTGGTTGATGATAATAGTTAGTCGGGTACATAATAAATTTGTTTATAGAAATCATCATATATGCTTTGTGATTAGTTTTGTAAATATTTACAAACACAACATAAACAAATGAATACTAAACATATGTTATTTGTCACTTTGTAGATAGCATGCAGTACTGTATAACCACAGAAACCCTCGCCGCAGCTGCAGACTAAATAAATTTCCTTTTCTGGCTGGATTTCTTCTAAAATATTCCCTGAAAATTGTCAGATTTATTTCCTATTTAAATAATATTAATTTTAATGAGTACCTAGGTTTGCTGATTCAAAGAATGTGTTGAGGTGTGTTTTTATTGAAATGTTGATAGCTTTGTAGGAGGTAAACAAAATACTCCCGCCACAGCAAACCTGCAGACTAAGTAAATTTCCATTTGCCTGATTGGATGTACTCTAAAATGTCTCCAATCACATCCATTCCCTATTTAAATAGCTTTAGTTTAACTGAGTACTTAGGTTTACTGCTACAGGAAGGGTAAAAAGGTTTTTTTTTTATAAAATGTAATAGTTTAGTATGATAGAATGCAAATTTGATCAAAAAATGCTCATAAACAAGAAAACTACAACAGTTTAAAAATGTCTCCATAAATATAACATGGAAATTTTAAATTTACATTTTTTTTATATTTTCTCCGTAGCCATTAGGCGCATAATATCGCTTTGATATACTAAATTAATAGTTTTTTTTTAACTCTACAAAATGGCGTGGAAAGAAGTTGCTAAAATCTATGTTTTTAGGGTAAAAAATGTTAAAATCCAATTACCCTATAAAACCGCTCATAAACCATCGTTTCCATATCCTATTATGCTGATTCGCGAATCCCTTAGAATAAACGTAGGTTTACACGTTTGCACCAAATTTAATCAAAATCGGATCACCTTTGCTCGAGTTATCGTGCTAACGGGCAAACATGTATATGAATTTGAACGGAGGAGGTTTTTGGCCTCTGGGGACCTGAAAACGGAAAAGTAAATGGGTCATGGGTCTAGGTCTTACCATGAGACCTACGGAATAGCTTTTGCCCTATTTAGGAAATTCGCTAGAATTTAGCACCACACTAAAACCACCACACACCTTTTACTTAAACGTATAATCTGCTACTGATCAGATGCATCATTTTTGAAGGATTTACTTCAAAGAAAAAGTAAATGGTGAGTTTTATTAATAACCATTTACTCAAGTCATGAGCAAAACCTCAAATTTCTATAGATTACCTTTTACTTCTAAAGCAAAAGGTTTTGCTTTAGTTTTTATTAATACAGATTGAAGGATTTGCTCGAATTTTCGCAAGTAAAAGGTTTACCTCATCTTTATTAATACGGCTCAATGACACTAACTCCATGCCACTCTCTAAGTTAACTTAACAACATTTTTACTAGTTAACAATACCAACATTTTGACCAATCCATTACCGTATACAAATTTAAAAAAATATCCTTATCTTAAAAGACCATAATTCAAAAATATTAAAAATAAGGTTAGAGTAGTGTTAGTTCTATTGTAAATTAAGACAAACCCCCAGTCATAGTAACCTAACTTGTAAAACATTCAAAAATCTGAAAACTAAAATGTACCCGAATGTCCCCAATCTCTATTTATTTTAATTGAATTTAAGTTTTTTTTAAGCACTTTTACCAAGGAATAAGAGATTTTCTAGGGTAAAAATTTAACTAGGTACGTACAGAATTGACTAATGATAAAGCCAGTTTAGTTAAGATCAGGGGCAGTACAATACAATAAAAACATTAGAAATAGAAGTTGAAGTTATAAGTAATTAGGGTACTTACCTGTTTATAGACTGCTGGTGTTGTTGTTTATAGATGCCGCCTATTTTTTCTTTCACTAAACACTCATATTATTCACTTTTCCTTCTGTAACTGCTGCTGGAGAGAGGCAATAGCGGCGGGACTGGCGGGAGCGGAGGGTTGGGAGACCTCTTATTCAACTCAACTCGAATGTAAATCGATAATACAATGCGCACTATCGATTTCCTACTGAATTCGGCTTCGCGATCGGGGATCCTCGTTAACCATCGATTGGAGTCTGCTTCACGTCAATAAAGCTGATTTTTAAATGTATTCTGTACTAGCTGTCACTGTAGGCACAAGTTCTAGTTTCCAATACCTGATCATTTTATTTTCGGTTATCATTCATCCGATTCAATAGGTTTTTTAATCTTTTTCCTGATCTTATCTTGATAACTTCAAGTAAAATGTCACTTCGTAGGATTTTATTTGAACGCCTTTTGATGGAGAAAGTTAATAGTTTGCTCTCAGAGGCTATATCATAGATAAAACAAAATAGTTTGCTTGATCTATGGCTAGAGCCTTACTTTTCAGTCTTTGTGTAGCTCAATACAAAAATAAAATATTTTCGATTACAGCTGGATATAAAAATTGTTTTACCGACAGTTAAATTATTTTTATTATTGAAATCAGGGGGTTTATTGTTCGATGATACAACTGTGGACATAAAATATGCATTACCTAATTTATTTGCTGTGATTTAGCTTCTATTGCGCGTCGCACAGTGAACATAACATGACTATTGAAACACCTTGAACTTGAAACTTAATTTTCATGTTGTTATGTAGGTCTGCTTTAACCATTTTGCTTTTATTTTTAACTTATATAAAATATGTGTTAATTGGGAAATATAATAGTTTGAATTTTACTGTGATTATTTTTACGTCGTGATAAAAAGCATCGTTTTATAATTAATTTGTACTAAAGTGATTTTCCGCCACTTCTTCTAATATTGTTATTCTCGTCCACGGCTTCGCCTTTTACGTGTAACTATTGCATTCTCGGCTTCGCCTCGTACAGTACGTGAAATTAGGTGTGCCTCACACATGAAACTTGAGCGCGCAACGGAAAATGCCTTTTCGGCTGTACTATCGTAATGAAATACTATTTCATAACTGCCTTACTGCCAACAGAAAGTTGCTATTTATGATTACAGTGGGCTGATATAAAAAAAATAATTGATCCTGGGAAAAGTTGCCCTCAATCCTTGCCCAACTGCGTGCTCTAGTGTTTCCTAACCATTTATTTTTTTCAAATCAACTGTTTTCATCGTTTGAACAATAAAACTGTAAACATAATTCAGTATAGGCATAACAGAGGCGTGTTTAAAAGTGTCGTTTATATAACTTTAACCGGCACTTTGTACGTGAAACTGTTACTCTAGTCATTGTTCCTGCGTGAGGCAAAGCCGAAGAATCTTGAGCGCGCACTGAAATGCCCATAAGTCAATAATTAGGATTTGCTAAAGCTTTAGACAATACATTCAGTATTTGAATTTAATTAGACAATCTAAAACTTATTGAAAAGTCTATTAACCGCTATTATTCCTTACATTTATGGACATCTATTATTCTATATTATTCCTTACATTATTATACGCTACATGAAACTTTGTAAACAATAAGGCTTTTTGTTTTAAGCATAACCATACATATTATACACCAAAATAATCATTTGAATTTGGGTTGGCGTAAATATTTAAATGGAAAAATGCGATAAAGTCTGGACAATTTGATATACTAAATACCCCAGCTGCAGCAAACCTGCCGACTAAGCGAATTTCCATTTGCCTGGATTGATTTTCAATTAATCTATTAAATTAACATTTATGTTTAACGAGTACCTAGGTTAGCTGCTACAGGGAAACTAATAAAGTGTGTTTTTTGATTAAAATATCAATAGCTTATTATGAAATTAATAAATCTGCCAAGTTTGATAAAAAAAGCCAACTACAACATTTTACATTTACAATATTCTCCATAAGAATAGCATGGTTATTACAATTTTTTTGAATTTTCCCCGTGATCAATCACCGTACAAAAACACTTTGATATACTAAAGTATTTGTTTTTTAAGCTCTTTAAAAAGTCTGGAGAAAAATTGATAAATTTTGTGTTTTAAAGGTAATAAAGATAAAAAAAACCCATTTTACCACATTAAACCCCACGTTAAACCCTTGCAAACTATGAAAACATAGGAAAGTCATATAGAACACCGCCAAGTACAAGAAATAGAATTAAATGAATAATGTATGGACAACATTAATAGTCAAAGATATAAATGTTGCTATGAGTGGGAAACATTTGTAGATAACACTAAAAAACAAGATCAGCTTTTGGAAAATGATAAGATATTTACGGTACAAGAGATGTTGATTATATCGAACTGTTATACTGTCATTGACTACATCGCACATCGTGACTCTTGAGTATTTCCATAATCGTTGAGACGCCTATTTTAAGGTCATCGGAATTATGACTGTTATTCGTTTTAAAATAACGCCTGTAATACTTCGCAATTACTCGAGTATAATAATAGTCATTTTCAAGTATTTGAGGAATGCTCCTGATATTTTTACGACATCAATATTATCAATAACATCGATGATATTAAGTTACATCCGCATTGTAGATTGTATACTCACACTAGTTATAGTATTACACACTACTTTTATGGATTAATAAAATGCTCAGTTGGCTTACCTGATTTCTGTCATAATAAGTGGGTTTACGGAATGGGCACACGGAAGGGACTAAGGCTAAAGGTGTAGTGACGTCATATCTCTAGTGGTTAATGTCTTCTCTTGAGGCGACACGATTACCGTAACGAAACGATGATATTCCAGAGGCGTTAGTGGCTTAGTTGGTAGCGTTTCGGATTGATGTTCAGGAAGTCCGGGGATCGAAACCCGCTGGAAGCACTAACTTTTTGTCAACAAATTTTTCATATCAGCAAGTTTGGTTGGTTAGGTTAGGTTATGACAGTTTAATTTTATAATACTAAATTTTAAAATTAATTTTATAATTAATTAAAAATTATAAGTAATCATTAATTAGATTTTTATCTTATATAGTTTTTATATTATCAGCAAGTCTGGTTGGTTAGGTTATGTTATGACAGTTTAATTTTAAAAATTAAAAATTTATTTTATAATTTTAAAACAATATTTTATAATTTAAAAGTTAATTTTATAACAAAAAATAAAAAATTAATTTAATTTTTTTCAACTTAGCAGTCCTAGCGGCGAACGCTGACACTACAAGATATGTTAGCCTTAGTCCCTCCCGTGTGCCCCACCGGTGGGTTTACTGTTTCTGTTCTGCTCTGCTTTGCTTTGCTTTACCACCTTCAGTTTGTTGTCTGCTAGTGCTTATGTTGCTCCTGAAGTGTAACAGAGTTAAAAATTAACATTTATACACTCTTTACCTGATCTTATAATTATTTAGTTCGCAAGATATTTTATGTAGCTTGATGTATATTTAACAGTTAAATCAGAAGGTAGTAAAATAGCTTTTATTTCATTATAATTTTCCTTAATTTTAAGTGTAAAAAATAGCCTAGGTCATTAGAGAAAACTTGTGGTAGGTCGGTATTTTGAAACCTTTTACTATTTTATTTTATTAGTCTACTAGGCCTAGGCCTAGTTTGTCTAAGTTGGGTCATGTATTGGTTTTGTTTTTAGATCTATGTACTTATATACACATCTCACTAATCACTAGTAGTAAAGCAATAATAATATTCCATGTGATATGCCTTAGTGACCTGATGGTAGAGAGCATTTTTGAAGCTGTAGGTTCACTACTAAGTAAATTAATGTAGATCTCTTAGATCATGAGAACTGTCTCTGTATTGTAGATCTACCACCACAGAAAATCCAGTCTTTGAATAACATTTAACTTAAGTATCTGCACAGGGGGTAAAATCTGGACCGTACTTACATATACAGTTGCTTAAACGCTAGTTATATGGACAGGGGGTAAAATTCCGGTTTTATTGCTAATCTAATTTATCATGCTCTGTCTATTTTCAATAAACTCTCAAATCCGCGGATGTAAAATTCTAAAATTCTTACTACGTCATAGTGATGTCAGCTTTGCCCAAGGAGATAAAATTCCGGCGGCCCTTTTATTTTAGTTCAAATTTAACCTATTTAATTCACTATTAAGTAGATGTAAGTATTAATTAAGCTTAAAATATAGTAAATTTAATGCTCTTTAAGATGGTTTTTGTTATAACTGAATATCTTTGAAAATTAATAAGATACAGACTTAAACGCAAACCTTTGCAAAACGCAAAATTGGCTGTCGCAACCAAACAAAATGGCTGCCAAAATAAAAACTGAACATAACAAAAATTAATGACTAACAGTTTTCAACTCTCTGAACATAGTACAATCTTGGGTAAAAAAATAAAAAATAAAAAAAATTAGTCAGCAACCATTTTAATTTTAATTGGTTGATTTGATGTGGATTGACCCCTAAATTAAACACTAATTTAAACATTGATAAGTTAATTTGGTACAATCTATAAATAAGAGTTGCCTGTTAGATTTATTAAATACTTACAAACTACAAGTTGATGTTTGAAGGCCCAACCAGGGTTACTGAGACAACATGCACTCAACTTGACTACGTTATCTCAGAGCCTAATTTAAATATAATCAGAGTGAGATCAGATATAAACATTCTAAGTGACCACAACATACCTTTAGCTGAAATTGGGGTAAAAAGTAACCTAACTGGGAAACTACAAGATTGAAAAAAGAATTATTTCTAAACCGGCCTTGGAAGCATTTTGTCAACTGCTCAAAACTAATAAATGGAAGTTGGAGGAAGTAGGCCTACTTGGTGATGAGCCTTCAAGTAAATTTAATCTTATGTTCAAAGAATTCTTTTCAACCTTCTTGTACTTGTTTAAAATATCATTCCCTAAATTGATGACTAATCTGAAAAATCATAACACAGTAAACTGGATAAACGATGAAATAAGAACTTCACAAACAGCCTTAAAAGACCTTTATTGGAATACTAGAACTTCAAATAATTTAAAAATGAAAAGATTATACAACCAGGCCAAAGCCGATCATAATAAACTGATACTTGATTGTAAAAAAGGGTTCATACAAAATAAAATTAGTCATTCCAAAAATATAAGTCGTGAATCTTGGAGAGTAGTACGGAGCCTGACCGACAAAACATCTGCAAACGAAGATATAACCCTAAAAAATGAAGAATCTCTAATTAGTGACCCTGTAGATGTGGCAAACCTGTTCAATTCTGTCTTTGTTGACGAAGTAAGGAAGCTGACTGAACTGCATGGAAATGGCACCGAGGGTGTACAGGAGTTAACCGATGGGCCAGATTTTGATTTCGATGACTGCATGCTGCTAGAACCGACTACAGAGGAGGAAGTACTGAGGGTGATGACTGTCGTGGGAAGGAGGACTAGTGCAGGAGTTGATGAGGTACCGTGCCATTTATTTGGAAGTTGTGCTGAATTTATTGCCAAACCTTTTACACTGATCATCAATGAATCTTTTGCAACTGGAACTTTTACAGACAAATTAAAAATATCAAAGATAATACCTATTCATAAGAAAAATGATAAACTTGCAGCTAACTATAGACCAGTAGCAATCCAATCTGCTTTTTCCAAAGTGTTTGAGGTAATTTTCCTTAATAGACTCATGCCCTTCTTAGAAGAAAACAACATACTTAGTAAAAAAACAATATGGTTTCCGGAAAGAAAGATCAACTATAGACCCAGTTTTTAAATTAATGACAAAAATTTATGACAACATTGACTTAATGGAGGACTCTCTCCTCCTTTTATATGACATGACCAAGGCCTTCGATTGCCTGGATCATGAAATACTTAGACCAAACTAATGAAAATTGGTATTAGGAAAAATCCCCTAAACTGGATAATGTAATTTCTTAAAAACAGATACCAAATTGTAAATATTAGAAACACCAGTGAGACGAATGTTATAAAGACTTTTAAATCAAATATCTCTGACTGTATCAACACAGGAGTCCCGCAAGGATCAAATCTCGGACCAGTGTTGTTCCTTCTGTATATTAATGATTTGCCTGAAGAGATCCAGGACGGGGAACTATTGATGTTCGCAGATGATGTGGGGCATCTTACCTATGGAGACCGTATAACAGTTATAAGGAAAACTCAGGAAGGAATTAATAAAATGGTTAATTGGAGCGCAAATAATAAAATGGCACTTAACAGTTCAAAAACCAGTCTAATTCAATTTTACAATAGGAAAGAACCGGACTACTCACCACTTTTAAAAATGGGAGATACTCACCTAATGAAAGAAAAGTCAGCTAAATACTTTGGAATAACAATATCTGAAAATTTATCCTGGGAAAACCATATTGATAATATAGCAAAAAGATTAATAGTTGTGTGCCATCTTATTCGTAGACTTCAGAATATAATCGATAGAAACATCCTGTTCCAATTTTATTATGGTTGCTTCCATAGTGTAATGGCCTATGGCATAATACTATGGGGAAACAGCACTGAAGCTCAAAGAATCTTTATATTACAAAAACGAGCAGTAAGAACCATCTGTAAAATGAGAGGTCGAGACTCCTGCCGAGATACCTTCAAGGAACTTGGCATTTTAACTCTACCAGCAGTTTATATTCTGGAATGTGCCGTTACTGTTAAAGCCAAACCTGAATGTTTTCCCAACAATAGTATTCACAACTAACACCAGACAAGCACAAAATCTACATGTACAACAAGTAAGAACAGCATTAGTTAAAAAAAGTCCCTATCACATGTGTATAAAATTATACAATAGTTTACCTCAAAATTTCAAAAATGAAGATCAAAATGGCCTCAAAAAAAAATTAATAATTTATTTTTGTAAAAATATACAACCAACTTCAAACGCTCTAAAAAGAATGAAATAATTTCAATAAAGTAAACTTTTGTATTAGGCAAGCTCACGTATTTTAAGTCGGCGCGGCTCTATGATGATTTTTGATACAAAATTGAAAGAGGGTGTCCATATTGCAGGTGACTATCTATAACTAAAGGTGTTAATCTGCATGTCTTTTTCATAGTTATGCGTTAAGTGTTATTTTATTGCCGTAATCAGAGATCGGCATTATAGTGGTATTAACGAGTATCTTTAAAAAGAATATAACGCATTTAAATGTTTCTAACTTGGAAAAGTAACGTTTAATACTAAACTAGCTCCTTTTCCCTATCATATATCAAACTAAATTATTTTCCTATTCATATAGAACATTTGTGTGTGTTATTTTCATAATGCATTTATTCTGAAGTAAACATAAAATACAAGAAAATATTTCCTTTAATATATAAACAAAACAGTTCAGTATATTTTTTATATATTTATGTTATCCAGCTACAATTTATTGATTTTCAAAATACACACACAATATTTAATTTCAATACATTGACGACCACGGCGTAGATACGCTTCCAGTGGGATATTAACAAGTATCAAGTAACCCATTGGGGAAGGATTTAATGCACTGCCCGCAGCACCATCTGTTGGCAATTAATTTTACAGAATTGGTAGACTTTAATTGATAGAAAGAAAACCTTAGGTAATAAATTTATAATTTTTTCACCATTTTGTTCACTGTAAAATCGTCTACGAAAAAGTGGTAGCCTAATTGGATAATCAAAGTGTAAAATAAAAAAAATTAAATGATAAATATACCTAATATTAATACACATTTTAAAAACAATTTTTTAAAGTGAACTTGATTTACAAATTCCAAGATTAATCCAGACACCAAATAACACTACCTACTATTTTAAAGTTCAATTTATTCCCTACGTAGAAAAATGACAAATTTTTTAGTTTTATGAGTAATAACTTAACATTACTTTTTTTTTTATTTACCTACCGTAGCTGATTTTTGGTGATATCTGGTTCCTATGGCAACACATCCTTGTTTGTTATTCGTAAAAATAAATGAGTAAATACGCAAAACGCGAAGCAAGATATTTATAAACATCACAAAATTATGAAGAAATAAAAAGGGGAAAAAATAATATAATAACTATAGTGGTGCTGCATAGTGGTGACACGAGTGGCTCTCGTATGTCAGCTGCCGGGCCTGCAGCGGCTCCTAAGTCAGCGCCAATAGGTTAAACTGTTAAACCACGCTTGATTTCAGAGCCATGGACAATCTTGTCAAATTAGTAGAAGATTTGAAGATTGCTGTGGATGGAAGAAAAGGAGATGATGTTCCAAGCATTCTGGACACTGTTTTATCTCAAATTGATTCGGGAGAAAAAGGTCAGTTATAAATAAGTAACTTATTGTTTGCTGTTGATAGCGTTTGTATGCTACTTATTTAGTTCTCAGTGAAAATATGTTTTGGCATAGATGTGTTAAAAGCATGGAACACAATAATTTTAAGGTCTCTGGAAAAAAAGATTTCAGGCTACTGTTTTTTTTAAATTTAAGCTCCTACTGTATAAGTTACAGGCTGGCTCATTAAGGTTATGATTTGCTATGAAATTCAGTACTTTTCTGTTGTATTGACCACTAATGCTATTGTATATGTTTGGTTGGGATTACTGTTAACAAAGCTCAATATCAAAGAGATAATTGATAAGTGCCTGTATATTTCACATGATATTAAGCTAACCATACATAATACAGCCAAATATGCTGTAACTTAAAATTAGTATGAAATGATAGAAAATTACCTGAAATACTTTGAAGATTAGTACAGACGTATATAAAGGGTTTGTGGCTTACGACCCTTAAGGATGTTTTACTTTACATCTTACTGACCGTCGCTTCAGCAAAATTTCCCAAGGTAATTGGCCAAGTTTTCCAATTGTTAAGAATAATATCTCGAACAAAACCTTTCTGAATTTACTTTTTATGTCTTAGAGTTGAAGAACGCTGGTGATTTAGTGACACAGTTGGCAGCGCTGTTGGAATGGGAGAATACAGATGTGGTTGCCAAGACTGCTGCTGTTGTGGCAGCACTGGCTAAGTCAGAGAGTGGCCGTAGTGCTTGCTGCCGTCAGACTGTCACCACTCTCTTACTAAGACTACTGTCATCGCACACTGACAACAAGCTGCTTATCCAGGCTTGTCGTGCTCTCGGAAACATCTGTTATGAAAACTGTAAGATAAGTCACAAGTGTGTTGTATTCTATCAGTGAGTTTCACTAACGCTAACAAGTCTTACTTCATATCCTATACTCTATGGAGTCATGGAATATATAAGTTGCTTGATCGAGAATGAAACCTTATCCTGTTAAGAAACACTAGTTTAATGGTTTAGTGCCTGTGATAAGTCAAATCCTTACAGAATGTTCGGTACCGATAACTAAGAATGCTTCTATTCTGTGATATGATCTGACTATTAAGTTTTTGCATTTGGTTTATAAAACAAAAGAAAATCCATTTAACCTCACTGTTTTAACAATAGCCTATTTTGACCACATAATCGGTCACCTACAATGTGTTAGCCTACATTTATTTTTTACTTAGATAGGCTATAAGTAGATATATTTTTCTAAAATTTTAACTTGTAACTGCTAGTCACCATAGACAGTGCACCTATCACAAACTAGCACTAAGTTATTTAACGAGCACCTACCTAGGTTTTGCTGCTACAAGAAAACTAATAAAGTCTTTTTTTTGCAAAATATGAATAGCTTAGTATAAAATATAAAAAATTACCAAGTTTGATCAAAATATATCCATAAACAAGCAAACTACAGCATTTTACAAGATTCTCCATAAGAATAACATGGGAATTTTAAATTAAATTTTTTTTCGTTATCTATAACCGTACAAAAACACTTTGGTATACCCGTTCCCATGGTCTGATCATGCTGGTTCTCGAACTCATTGAAGTTTATTCCGCCTTACACCTTTAAACCAAATTTCATAAAAATCTGAGAAAAATTACTCAAGTCATTGCGTTTACGGACATAAATCTAATATATATACATACATACAAATTTGAACAAATGGTGTTTTGGCCTCTGGAGACATCAAAATGAAAAAGTAAATCGGTCCCAAACCTAGGTCTTACTATGCCACCTACGGTAATAGCTACTTCCCTGTAGGGAAATTCGCTAAAAATCAGCAGTATTTACCAATGCTTCCTTTTTGTTAAGCGAGGATCTACTGTATTTGGTCTATAGTAACATAAAGTTTTACAACGGTTGCAGCTGAGGGCAACAAACTTGTGGTGGAAGGCGACGGGCTTTCGGCAGTGTTGTGTGTGTTGCGACGTGCAGTTAGCCAACCTGACGAGCCTCATGCTACACAACTGCGAGCTTGCTCGGCCGGCTGTCTACTTAACCTGCTCATGGGACAGGACCATCTTTACCCCAAGGTATCAGTTTACTAAATAAAGAGTAAATTATTTAGTTCTACTGTATTAAGTTTTGCCAAGACAATTTTTTTACACTCCAGGTGGACTATGTGTCTGTATTATCTTGATTCATCAAACCTGTTTAAAATATAAATCCTTGTTAGATCACATACTTGTAATTCCTGTTGAAAATAAGTGGATAAAGTCTGTAACAATGTTATAATATCCACAACACAAAGGGTTGACCCAAAATACAATTAAATGCTAAGGGCATTTAGAATTTTTATATGACTTCTAAAAGTTATCACTTGAAAAACCTTGGCTCAGCATGACTCTACCCCATAATAGTTTTTGGCCCGAACAACCCCCTAGGCCAACTGCTGGTCTGACTTAACCTTAAAATATTGTAAACCGGCAGATCCCTTAAAAAAAGGTAAATACTTGGTAACGGGGAATCATGACTAGTGAAAATGAAATTATAATTTTTTCCCAGAAGTTTTCTGGCCACTCTAATAAACACTGATTTAACTTAGCTTTTACAAACGGAATTTTTTTTCAGGCTCTAGACCTTGATATCATGGAGCTGCTTTGCTCAGTTTTGGAGCTCGGAGTTACCAAGGAAGGAGAGGAAGCTGCTATACATACTATGGTTATACTAGGCCTTCTGACTGATGCAGGTGTATCCATCAATTGCTTTAGTAGAGTTGTAGTTTAGCATTAGTAGTGGACGTAAAATATACGTATAACATCATATATGTAAATATATGTCAAATATATGTAGTTTCAGTTTAGGACACAGTAGTATAAAAATCAATTATACAGTAGTACACATTTATGAATGTATTTGTAAAAACTACATGTCCTCAACTAACTTTGACTTACTCTCGTTTGGACTGAAGATGGTTTGGACTGCCATCTGCATATCACACACACACTAATCATGCCACTTTACTCATATCTACAGTATGTAAACATACAAATTATAACCACTTATTTATTTAGCAATCTTCAGTAAGTTTACATGTAGGCCTAATCAATATCCAGTACTAGTTGTTGCTTTATTTTGTAATAGTGGGAATCCATACATAAAATATTATATTTTTTTAATTTTTATACACAACTACTAACTAAAGACATATAATACTTTTTTTCTGTTTTAGCGAATTTCCCTTAAGCTATTACCGTAGGTCTCATGGTAAGACCTGGACTCGGGACCGATTTACTTTTTCATTTTGATGTCCCCAGAGGCCAAAAACACCATCCGTTCAAATTCATATATATATATATATATACAGGGTGAATTTTAAATGAGTTCCCCCCCTACTTTTTTCTACATTTCTTAAGATATCATCTCCGGACCACGTCAGATCATTGTTGAGTAGTAAGTACTTCATTTTGACTGGGTATACATTTTTAGCCGCCATCTTGGATCCGCCATATTGGATACAAAGTTTTTTTTTCAAATGTAAAGGTGGGGTTGTGACCCATTATTTCAAACTAGATTTTTACGCTGATTACAATGCCGCAATTAGTTTTTAAAAATCTTCATCCGTTCTAAAGTTATGAGGAATCTTTATAACTTTATTTTTAGCCCATTTTAACATTGTGCATTAACAAAGTAAGACCATAATCTCAAAATAGTGCTAGATAAAGATAAATATGCACCACCATTCATTGTTGTCATATTTTCACTTGGTTATGACGGATGTAGTTTTTTCAGCCGCCATCTTGGATCCGCCATTTTGAAATGTGATCAATTAATTTAAATATGAAGGTGGTGTTGTGACCCATCATTTTGAACTACTTTTTTATACTGGACTCAATGCCGCAATCCGTTTTTGGTTATCAAGCTTACTTGATGAAATATTAAAATACTCTTATTTAAAATTTCAATATTTCAAAATCCAAAGATGCAAATGAAAAACGAATTGCGGCATTGAGCTCAGCATAAAAAAGTAGTTCAAAATGATGGGTCACAACACCACCTTCATATTTAAATTAATTGATCACATTTCAAAATGGCGGATCCAAGATGGCGGCTGAAAAAACTACATCCGTCATAACCAAGTGAAAATATGACAACAATGAATGGTGGTGCATATTTATCTTTATCTAGCACTATTTTGAGATTATGGTCTTACTTTGTTAATGCACAATGTTAAAATGGGCTAAAAATAAAGTTATAAAGATTCCTCATAACTTTAGAACGGATGAAGATTTTTTAAAACTAATTGCGGCATTGTAATCAGCGTAAAAATCTAGTTTGAAATAATGGGTCACAACCCCACCTTTACATTTGAAAAAAAAACTTTGTATCCAATATGGCGGATCCAAGATGGCGGCCAAAAATGTATACCCAGTCAAAATGAAGTACTTACTACTCAACAATGATCTGAAGTGGTCCGGAGATGATATCTTACGAAATGTAAAAAAAGTAGGAGGGGGAACTCATTTAAAATTCACCCTGTATATATATTTATATATATGTGTCCGTCAGCACGATAACTCGAACAAAAATTATCCGATTTTGATGAAATTTGGTATAAACGTGTAAACCTACATTTATTTGAACGAGTTCGCGAACCAGCATGATCGGACCATGGGAACAGGGGTTTATAGGGGGTTTTATGGGGTAAAAATGGGTTTTTCCCATTTTTGACCCTAAAAACATAAAATTTTGGAATTTTTTTCGCAACCATTTTGTAGAGCTTAAAAAAGTAAATAATTTAGTATACAGTAGAACCTCTTTAATCCGAACCCCCGTAATCCGAACGTCCACTAATCCGAACCCCTCATTGCTGTACTCTATACACAGTACAGCAGTTCTTTATTGTATACTGTATTTAATGTACAGTACTGTTTATTCACCATGTTTACTACTGTATTAAATAAACACTGTATTTTAATTTATAAAACATTTTTTTCACTTTTCCCAAAATAATTTAGATCAATTTTAGCCATGTTTTAGCTATTGTAATGTCAAAATACCCCCCGCCGCAGCAAACCTGCCGACTAAGCGAATTTCCATTTGTCTGAATTGATTTTCAGTTAAATATATTTTAATAACATTAGGTTTAACGAGTACCTAGGTTTGCTGCTACAAGGAAACTAATAAAGTGTGTTTTTGAGTAAAATATTAATAGCTTAGTACAAAATAAATAAATTTGCCAAGTTTGATCAAAATATATCCATAAACAAGCAAACTACAACATTTGACAATATTCTCCATAAGAATAACATGGGAATTTTAAATTTACAATTTTTTTAATTTTCTCCGTTACTAATAACCGAACAAAAATACTTTTGTATACTAAATTATTTGTTTTTTTAAGCTCTTTAAAAAGGTCTAAAGAGAAATCGGGAAATTTTGTGTTTTGAGGGTCAAAAGTGAGAAAAACCAATTTTTACCCCATAAAACCCCCCGTAAAGCCCCGTTCCCATGGTCCGATCGTGCTGGTTCGCTAACTCATTCAAGTTTATCCCGCTTTACACCTTTAAACCAAATTTCATCAAAATCGGACAAAAATTACTCAAGTTATCGCGTTCACGGACGTATATATATATATAAGTCTATATATATATATATATATATACATATATAAAAATTTGAACGAATGGTGTTTTTGGCCTCTGGGGACATCAAAATGAAAAAGTAAATCGGTCCCGGGTCTAGGTCTTACCGTGCCACCTACGGTAATAGCTACTTCCCTATAGGGAAATTCGCTAACAGCAATATGTTCTGTAATCCGAACTATTCACTAGTCCGAACTACCCCTGGTCCCAATTAGTTCGGATTAAAGAGGTTCTACTGTATTGAAGCATTGTTCCTAATGGTTACGGAGATATAATTCCGTAAGTCAAATTTTTGTAAAGAAATTGTGAGTGACTGGATGGCCGTAGAAGGATGGGAGGGGTCTTATTTTAAAGGTCTTGACGTGAATTTTGAGAGAAAACTATTCATTTTTCTTATTTTTTTACCATAAATTCGCAACAGAATAAAACTTTTCCCATTAAAACAACATGGAGTTTAATTTGTTTACACCTTTTGAAATTAAAACAGCTGTGCCACAGATTTGTATTAGTTGTATTTCTGAAAATCTGTGTACTCATAGCCTTTGATATAGATACCAGCTGTACTTTTTATGAATTTCAGTTTGTTTACTACAGCAATGTATAATTTTTAGTTATGGTGATCTATAGTTATCTTGGACGAAATAATCAGTGACGACCCAACCGAACGTTTGAATATTCCTATTGAATATTTACACTCAATAACTCCCTCAGGAATGCCACCTCACAAATTGACATTAAAAGTAGGTGCCATAGTAATGTTAATCAGGAATATAAACCTAGGGTCAGGTTTGGTTAATGGCGTGCGGTTAATCGTATTAAGCATGTTTGAGAAATGCATAAAATTAGAAATTATTACGGGATCTGGAAAGGGAAATATAATATTTTTGCCTGGAATAAAGCTTATTTCAACAGATCCTAACATGCCTTTCCACATGTCAAGACTGCAATTTCCCTTACGACTTGCCTTTGCTATAACTATCAACAAGGCACAAGGCCAAACCTTCCAGAAAGCTGGAGTTTACTTAGATAACCCAGTTTTTACACACGGACAGTTATATGTTGCATTTAGCAGAGTCAAGTCATCAGATGGAATCAGAGTATATATGGCAAATACAAGAGAACAGAACAATACAGAAAACAATTCATATACAAAAAACATAGTTTATCCAGAGGTTCTGACTAATTATCAAATGCAATAAGTAAGTAGTGATTTCTATTCATGTAAATAAAACTTGAATTAAACCAAATTTTAATTGTTTTTTATGCTTATTATTTTCAAAATAAAAAAGTTTACTGTTTTAGAGGCTATTGTCCCTACGTACCACCATTTAAATGTAAATGTATCTACTGTATATAATATATTGTATACATTTTGTGTTGTAAACTATATTATAATGCTAGAAAATCAGTGCTTATTTATAAATGACCAATGAAGGTTGATAAAAAATTTATGTATTTTGGTTTTTTAGGGGCTTTTGCCCCTACAAGCCCCTAGTTTAGTATATTGAAGCATTGTTGTATGCCTAATGGTTACGGAGAAAATTCAAAAAAGTGCAAATTTAAAATTCCCATGTTATTCTTATGGAGAAAATGAAACTGTTGTGGTTTACTTGTTTATGGATATATATTGATAAAATTTGGCAAATTTATTTATTTCATCCTATACTATTGACTTATGGTCGAAAAACGCTTTTTACCTTCCCTGTAGCAGCAAACCTAAGCACTCGTTAAATCTAATGTTATTTAAATTGAGAATAAATATGTCTTATATATGGAAATATTTTAGTAACAATGTAATCAGACAAGTTGAAATTCGCTTAGTCTGCAGGTTTGCTGCGGCGGGGGTATTTTTTTTCTAACTGTTAAGTATTGTAAATATTGCTATGGTTGGATCAGCTCTGTCATCTACTGATCTTATGACAATGGAGAGTTATGCATGAAGTGCTTTATTGTTCAAACATTCCTCTCAGAACAATGTAATTAAATTAAATACTGGCCTATGATTGTCTGTCTGGTTAACATTGAATTTTAACATACAACACATTTCTGAAATAAAAATAAAACAAATGATGATAAATTCTTAGCATCTATATATATAAAAGGCAAAGCCCTCACTGACTCACTGACTGACTCACTCACTCATCACTAATTCTCCCACTTCCCATTTACCTAGGAGGCTGAAATTCGGTACACCGATTCTTTGGGCATTAAATTGGAAAACTAAGTAGTTTTTATTCTGATCGGGCTTTCGGGCTCCGCCCCAGTGGCTCTGGAGTTTCCCATGTTAACCTTATGAGTACTCATATTTAAATGGAATTACAGAATCTTAACAGCTGTTTCAATTAAACAAGTTGGTTCTGTTCTATGATGTTCAATAGCATTAAAGTTACAAGGATTACCAACAGGGTGCAGCACTATTATTTTTTTAAATTTATGACACAGCTAATTTGCAACCAAAAGGTGAGTGAGCGTAGCGAACGAACTTCAACCTGGAGGCAAGTTAGCGTAGCGAACGAGCTAACCTGAAGGCAAGTGAGCGCAGCGAATGAGCTCCAACCTAAAGGTGAGTGAGCTTAGCGAACGACCTTCAACCACGACGTGATTGAGCCATGCGAACGAGCTCATCTTGAAAATTAAGAAGTTAAACGGGGCAAAGCCCGCGGGTACAGCTAGTATACAAATAAAATACATTTGATATAAAATTAAAAAAACATAAGCCCTAGTTACATAGGCTTACATAAATTTATTTAACTTATTTTTTTATGAAGAATTAGTAGGTACTCTTGTAGTTCAGACGAGGAATTTGTTTCGAGGTATCCGAAAAAACAGTCTACTGGATATGACTCAGCCTTTTATCTTAATGTTATAGAAAAATATAACTAGAACTCAATCCTTTTATCAACTGTAACTTTCAAATCAATCCATCCACTTTGTATGATATCTCCTACAAAGTTGTCCATCACAACTCAGCCATTTTGTTTTTCTGTTGTAACAATCTGATACGTTTTACAGCTCCAGGCACACTGACCTTGAGTGAGAAGCTGTGTAACATCACGGTGAAGACTCTAGAAGCCTCTACGTCCGGCGAACTGAGTGAACTCTGTGTAGAGTTACTACACACCCAGGCTGAGAACGGTGAGAAATGAATCAGGAGTTTTGATTAGAGGCTATAGGAAGCCGGATAAGGGCTATAAGGGGGGATAAGAACTTAAAGTATTGCAGAAATTCCAGTGTGAATTGATTTTTAAAGAGAGAATAAAAGTGGTTTGTCCCCAAAGAAAGGGTTTTCACGAGGGATGGACAGGATTGTACTTTCAGTTCAGGATGGGTATGGACAGGATTTTCCCTCCCGTACTACAAGGATAGCTTAGTTTACTCATTGTTCTTAAATTATTGTGGACGGACTCATCAGTTTTGATGTTTATTTGTTTTCACGTCCAGTGCCTTTGGATGACTGAAATCTGTCATCGCATGCTGATTGGTTCCTGGAATCTGGAACCCAATTTCAGCTGTCTCTAGTAGACATTTCTGAATTTCGATATGACTAATCAAAGTCATTTTAAACTTAATTGAGGTATAATTAATAATATACATAGTCTCTGTGAAATCTTGAAAAGTAGGGCACTCTTGACATTGTGGATTGCTAAATTCTTCCACTGTCACACAGAGTTTGTAAAAGCGAGTCGAACGCTCGTACTGCCCAGTGAATGCTGGAATCTCGTAATGAACACGTTCCACGCAAATCACATTTACTGTTGTCTCATGGTGGTCTTCGGACCTATCCATGACTGAAGAGACTAAAATAAAGTCGAAACAACAGAGCACACTTCTAATCCTGAAAGATGGATTAGTCGTATTGGACATAGCGCAGGCTCAATCAAATTTCGAATCTACAAACCACACACGAACATGGATCGTACACACCCGAGACGGTACGTGTGACAATCTCAATGCTCGGAGAGGTTGAGATTTTGGTTTTGTAATTTGAAAGAACATTCAAAAGAATGTAATTGAAAATTGGCAAGGGATTCGTCCCATTTACCTTCAAAAAGATTAACCTGTAATGAAGCGCTTGTCTTATCCCCTCACAATAACGCGTAACCGGGTTTTAGACGTAGGGCAGATGCTGATCTTAATTGCAGCTATCAACCACGAAAGCTATATGCTGTGGGAACCCTCACGATCGCCGGATAGGCAGATGCCGCCCACACGAATTGTGTAGAAGAGCCTAAACGTGCTACTGTTTGATGATATCAGTGATTCTAAATTGCAGTCTGATTGATAAGACTGACCAGCTCCGCTGGATTTGCAACTACATCACCTGTCACAATCACTTTAACCAATTAATAATTTTGAGTGACTTGTAACATTAGGTGCAAGTGTTTGGCTTCGCAACCTTCTAAAATTCTAAATTAATTTTGCAGGTTAGATGTATTGGTCACGAAACTCGTTCTTGGGGTTATACGTGCGAAAAGACGCCCTAGTGGCGGAATCACTCTTGCAACGTAAAAGGTGCGATTATACGCATAACGATATCATCTGTTTCGGTCTCAGGGCTAGATAGCCCATACCTCATCAGGTGCACACTTTAGTGCACGACAGATTGAATTATAATGTGTTGAGGACGGATTAAATTTTTCATCGTCCAACTGAAATTTTGAATTTTGATGTTTCTAAATTTTGAAAAGATGAAATTGTCAACTTAGAGTTGACCAGGCACACCTGAGTATTTACTCATTGTTCTTAAATTATTGTGGACGGACTCATCAGTTTTGATGTTTATTTGTTTTCACGTCCAGTGCCTTTGGATGACTGAAATCTGTCATCGCATGCTGATTGGTTCCTGGAATCTGGAACCCAATTTCAGCTGTCTCTAGTAGACATTTCTGAATTTCGATATGACTAATCAAAGTCATTTTAAACTTAATTGAGGTATAATTAATAATATACATAGTCTCTGTGAAATCTTGAAAAGTAGGGCACTCTTGACATTGTGGATTGCTAAATTCTTCCACTGTCACACAGAGTTTGTAAAAGCGAGTCGAACGCTCGTACTGCCCAGTGAATGCTGGAATCTCGTAATGAACACGTTCCACGCAAATCACATTTACTGTTGTCTCATGGTGGTCTTCGGACCTATCCATGACTGAAGAGACTAAAATAAAGTCGAAACAACAGAGCACACTTCTAATCCTGAAAGATGGATTAGTCGTATTGGACATAGCGCAGGCTCAATCAAATTTCGAATCTACAAACCACACACGAACATGGATCGTACACACCCGAGACGGTACGTGTGACAATCTCAATGCTCGGAGAGGTTGAGATTTTGGTTTTGTAATTTGAAAGAACATTCAAAAGAATGTAATTGAAAATTGGCAAGGGATTCGTCCCATTTACCTTCAAAAAGATTAACCTGTAATGAAGCGCTTGTCTTATCCCCTCACAATGAATTATAATGTGTTGAGGACGGATTAAATTTTTCATCGTCCAACTGAAATTTTGAATTTTGATGTTTCTAAATTTTGAAAAGATGAAATTGTCAACTTAGAGTTGACCAGGCACACCTGAGTATTTACTCATTGTTCTTAAATTATTGTGGACGGACTCATCAGTTTTGATGTTTATTTGTTTTCACGTCCAGTGCCTTTGGATGACTGAAATCTGTCATCGCATGCTGATTGGTTCCTGGAATCTGGAACCCAATTTCAGCTGTCTCTAGTAGACATTTCTGAATTTCGATATGACTAATCAAAGTCATTTTAAACTTAATTGAGGTATAATTAATTAATTTAGAATTTTAGAAGGTTGCGAAGCCAAACACTTGCACCTAATGTTACAAGTCACTCAAAATTATTAATTGGTTAAAGTGATTGTGACAGGTGATGTAGTTGCAAATCCAGCGGAGCTGGTCAGTCTTATCAATCAGACTGCAATTTAGAATCACTGATATCATCAAACAGTAGCACGTTTAGGCTCTTCTACACAATTCGTGTGGGCGGCATCTGCCTATCCGGCGATCGTGAGGGTTCCCACAGCATATAGCTTTCGTGGTTGATAGCTGCAATTAAGATCAGCATCTGCCCTACGTCTAAAACCCGGTTACGCGTTATTGTGAGGGGATAAGACAAGCGCTTCATTACAGGTTAATCTTTTTGAAGGTAAATGGGACGAATCCCTTGCCAATTTTCAATTACATTCTTTTGAATGTTCTTTCAAATTACAAAACCAAAATCTCAACCTCTCCGAGCATTGAGATTGTCACACGTACCGTCTCGGGTGTGTACGATCCATGTTCGTGTGTGGTTTGTAGATTCGAAATTTGATTGAGCCTGCGCTATGTCCAATACGACTAATCCATCTTTCAGGATTAGAAGTGTGCTCTGTTGTTTCGACTTTATTTTAGTCTCTTCAGTCATGGATAGGTCCGAAGACCACCATGAGACAACAGTAAATGTGATTTGCGTGGAACGTGTTCATTACGAGATTCCAGCATTCACTGGGCAGTACGAGCGTTCGACTCGCTTTTACAAACTCTGTGTGACAGTGGAAGAATTTAGCAATCCACAATGTCAAGAGTGCCCTACTTTTCAAGATTTCACAGAGACTATGTATATTATTAATTATACCTCAATTAAGTTTAAAATGACTTTGATTAGTCATATCGAAATTCAGAAATGTCTACTAGAGACAGCTGAAATTGGGTTCCAGATTCCAGGAACCAATCAGCATGCGATGACAGATTTCAGTCATCCAAAGGCACTGGACGTGAAAACAAATAAACATCAAAAAAATAGCTTAGTTTGTTTTTGAAATGTTTGGCAAAAATTCTACAACTGACAAGCTTATTATCTTACTAATATTAGGCTATAAATGTGGAAGTTTTGATGTTTTTTAGTATGTCACACCGTAAGTAACCCAACCAATAGAATCATATTATTCTTGAAGTTTAAATGGCTTAAAAATAGTTTATTGACAAATTATTTACTATTAATTGAGATAACAAACAGAATTAATTAATCAAATAATGTTTTCAGAGAGTGTGAGGTTGCACCTTGCCAAAGCTGGACTGTGTGAGTTGTTGGTTGATCTGTTGGAGAAACATCGACCCCTCGTAGAAGACGATGAGACCAGAAACCTACTGAAGATGGCCTGCGATCTCATCATAATCATACTTAACGGCGGTTAGTTACTTCATTGATGTCATCGTAACATAATTGGTATAGTTGTGGTAGTTTTTACTAATTTTGTTTGTAAGATTCTTTTGTTACTTCTGTATTACAGAAACTGGGAGGTGACTGCAATGTCATTCAGTATGTAGATTTTCAACATCTCAATTTCATTCAAATAAAAACAGATTTTCCAGTTTTATTTGATTTTTCTTACCAGCCGTGTGTAAACATCAACCAGTACAGTCTTACAACTACTTTTGGCTTGGGACAAGCTTGGTGTTATTACTTGTTATAACTTGGTTTATACTCTTGATTTACTGTATTACCTGCTAAAATCTAGTTAGAGTTGCTGCTTGGGGTGGAGAGCTATTTTGATATTGTTTACTGTTTTGTTTTTAATTTTCACAGTTTTTTGACGGTAATGGGTTTAGATCCTGATTGTATTTTTTATTGGACTGAGTCGCCATCAATCTTGACACCTGGGTTCTTTTTAAATGCCAATTTTAACACTTTCAGATGACAGTATGAACCTACTGTACAGTGATGGTAAAGGAAAGGTCTTCCAGGGAATGGTGAACTGGCTTGTGTCTACGGATGACGACCTACAAATCACTGGAGTGCTAGCAATGGGCAATTTTGCACGCACAGGTAGGCCTGATTACCGCTAAACTACTGAAGTTGAAATATAATAGTAGAAACACAATGTCTATTAACAATTTAAAGGGAGTTTTACATGTGTTATGTGTTCAACTCCTGAGAATGGTTATGTTATTTTCACTTACCCCTGGTGCAACACAATATATGATCTAAAAAATGGGTGGGAGAGACAGGTGATTAGTCATGTTACTGTAAAGCAGTCTTGAACTATGTGTTTTTTTCCAGTTTTCTTCCTTTTCCTGGAGAATTTCATGTCTTACATGTGAGTCAGATTTAACATAGAATGTCCAAATCAATTCTCAGTCAAATTTCATTCAAAATCACCGTTGCTACCTGTCCACGACCCGCATTTGTTTCCTTATACCCTTATTTAAGCCTATGTTAATCCGGTGGAGGGGAAGGGGGCCAGGTCCAGATCTTTTCCTAACCTAAGGTGGCAACCCTGTACACAATAGTGAATGCCTGACAAAAAATCTGAGTCAAAAATACATTTTTTGAGGCCAGTATAAGTTGAAACTTTGACTATTATTGCTTATAGATAAACACTGTTTGCAAATGGTGGATTTGGGAGTGAGCAAGAAACTTCTCTCTCTGCTGAAAAGGAACAATGTTGTGTCTGCTGATATCCGACTGCAACACGCTCTTCTGAGTGCTCTTAGGTTAGTGTGACAATAACTGTGACTAAGCTGCATTTTATTTTCGATTAACTCTAGGACACCGACACATCTGGGTATGTATATTGAGGTGAATATAAGTGATGAATAAACGAATTGACCGCTTTGTTACCCACTAAGATTAAATCATCCACCTATTTTCTGGTTCTATTGCCAAGACCCAACTTAAAGCCCAATGATTAAGGATCGCTGGGTCCAGTTTTGAACTCCTAAAACGCTTCCAGCTTTTCTCAGAATCAAACTGGCAACCTTTTGATTGCCAGGCAAGCACTAACCCAGATGTCAGTTTGTGTAAAACTATTTACGTTGTAACATTTGCGACTGTTTTAAGATCACTAGTCTAATCATTGACTGTTCTATTGGTTGATAATTTTTATGCACATTCATAACTTTTGACATTTTAAATAGTCTTTATGGTCCGTTTGTAGTATTTTCAGAATTTGAAAATTGTACTAGTAAATTAACTTTTACTGTTGTTTCATTTTTGACATACTCAATGTTAATATCCAACATTTGGTACCATCTCAACATGAGTTTGCTTTACAGGAACCTTGTGATACCTGTACAAAACAAAAGCATAATGTTGGCAGAAGGTTTACTGGATGCGGTTCTGCCGATGGTCTCAATTCCTACTTTCCCAGTGGTCTTCAAACTGCTTGGAACCATTCGTATGGTTATTGATGGGCAAGGTACCTAATGAATTTAATTTGTAATAATTAAACCAAACCATATTCTAAGTGCTAATTGTTCTAAGGTGTAATTGTGTTGTTGGTGTAAATTTGTTTAAGTGCTTTCAAAGTGAATAACTGAAAGTGTCAAAGTCCAAATAAAGTTTATTGCTATGCTTAGCGATTTACTATTATTAGTTGTAAATAAAATAGAGATGTGAATTTTGCGATCAACCCGTAAAAAAGGGTTGGGTTGATTCCTTGAAACTCTGATACCAACAGTGTCAAGTAGGGACATGTCTCTTCTAGATACTAAGTGTCAACACCACTCAAGAATCACTCATCAAGAGTCAATGCCCAATACAAATACCAAACAGTGGATGAATAGGAAACATTTTGATTTTGAGATACTGTAGACAAAATCCGACAATCAAATGTTAAATGCTTGCAAAAGGTTACTGCTTCTAAAAGCAATAGAAAAACACCATATTAGATTTTGTTTAAGGACACATTCCGTTAGTGCATGAAAAATACAAAAGCTAAACACAATTTCTAGTGTAAGAAAACGCAGTGGCAGCATAGAGAATATTGCAATGATATCCCTACACTACTCTGCTGTTTATATCTGAGATCTGCTGCTACCTTGCTGTGATGCGACCATTACAAACTCTAGAAAATGTGTTTATTTGGTCAGTGGCCTGTGACTGTGAAAAATATTTTATTGTCATTTCAAGTTTCACTAGGTTAAGGCCATCCTGGAGTACAAGGAGAGGCCAACAGACCACTGAAGTGTCTCATCAAGGTACAATGCAGTGGTGGATCTAGAACAGTCACAAGGGGGGGGGGGCGAACCGGGGGGGGTGGTCTTTGGGGGTACCTTAAGTCTCCAAAATGGCAGTTTTATATCCTTTGTCCAAAGCAAATGTGACAAATTATTTTACGCAATGTGTATGCGCTACTGTATTACATGCAGTAAAAAAATATATATTATATCATGTATGCCCGAGGGGGAGGGTGATCGCCCCCTTCGCCCCCCTCTGGATCCGCCACTGGTATCATGTTATAGAGAGTGCTGCAGTCAGTGTGGGTCGTAATGCAGAGTTGGTGTCTAAGCTAGTGGAGTGGTGTACTACTGAAGACCATCCTGGAGTACAAGGAGAAGCCAACAGACTACTTGCATGGCTTATCAAAAACAGCAGGTCAGTAGTGCCAAATGTTAAAAATAAATTTATAGTACGTTACTTGTTACTAACAAAAATTTTAAGTTTAACAGTAAAGTGGAAGCCGTTAAATGAATCTATATATTTTTTTTAAAATCAAGTGAGCAAACCTACATCTAAGTAAGTTTTGGGAATAACTGCAATCCAACCAAGGAAGTGGTGTAGTAGGGTTTGTCCCTAAAATACAAGACTCTTAGTAAAGGGCTCTAGACCAGAATATTTTTGATTTGTGTTTTGATAGGAAAACAGGTTCCCCTGTGCTGTGGTGAATCTTTTCAATTGTAAACACACTCAATTGGGATTTTTTCCTGTGTTTTCTATTGATAAGACTCACTCACTGTACCGGAAAGTCTTGTCTTGCTATCAAAAACATGATCAAACCTATTTTAAAATTACATACTTTGAAAATACAACTTACAAATGTTCAAAGGTTTATTGCGGACAACTTACAAATGCAATAAATGTGTCGGTGTTGCAGAGACAGGGATGTGATGGGTGTGATGGTGCAGTGTGGGGCTGTTGCAAGGTTGGTAGCAATGATCACGGCAGAGCACGCTGTCATGCAGACAGAGGTGAGGGAATAGTGAATGATCAAATCATGATCAAATATAAACAGAAGTTATTTAGCCTTGATGAGGTAAAATTGCCAATCATACTGTAACAAGTATTTTTTGGCTTAAAATATTTGGTACGTGGAAATTAATGGGTGTCGCTTCTGAAATCAGGAAAAATGTAATGAAGGATGTAACCCTAAAATTGTTTTACGGTAGCGAATTAAAAGAATAAAGGAACAAGTACTTTAGAGAATACCTCACAATGTTGGTTGGTAGTCATCCATTTTGAAATTAACGAAAGAAAAACCAACTCGTATCTTGAACGTGGGAAAGTGGATAGGAGATGGCAGGATATTTAAAATTGGTTTATGTTGATGGCCTGATAATTTGTCAGTAAATGGAATAGGTGGGTACTGTAAAAATTTAAAGGCGTTATATTATAATAAAACTAATTTGAAATCGAGTTTGGCCTTAATAGTTTTGTTTTGATAAATAAATTTCAGTAACTTGATTTCTTCTTACATTATGAAAACCAAACTAGTCAATGTTTCAACAATATTGGATGTCCCAATGTCGGCCTAATTGTGATGTTTCGTCCGAGGCAGGCTCTACTGGCATTGTCTCTACTGACGGCCATGCGAATGTCAGACGCTGAGCCGAGTCTGGTGTCGTGCAATGTTGGTCAGCAGATCGTCTCTCTCGTCACCTCCAGCCAGGTTCAACGGGAAGTCTTCCAAAATGTTCTGGCGTTAGTCGGCACCATGGTTACTTCAGGTGAGGACAATATGTATATTGTAAATAGTGCTGATCAAAGTCAAACATGTAAATTAATACTTATCTGATGAAAAACTACGATCAGTAAAGCTAGGATATGGTTAAAGGGGATAGTCATAGTCAAAAGCTACCTACCTAGCTGTCTAGCTTAACTGGTTTTATTTTGAAGGAAAGCCAAATTGCTAGTTAGAATTTTTTGTAAGGGGATTGAGTTCTGCTATTTTACCTGAAAAAGTTGGAATTTTGGGCTAAAAAATACAATAAAAGTCTCAAAACATTGATATTTCGTCCTTTTATAAGAGAATTTTCCCCAGAACTTTCTCGAGTAGGCTAGCTGACCACTTTAAGTCACACAAAGCTTTGTGAGAATATTGCAAAGTAATGTGATGGTTACAAGTTACAACAAGACAACCATCATCTATTTCCTCCCACAGGGGACATGAAGAGGCATCTCCACGACACAGGGGTGGCCAAGGCGTTGACTTCCACAGTGATCAGTAGTGAGACGTTTGCCGATCTACGTGACCAAGTGGCGCGACTCTCCTCCATGATCGACTCCGGTTGAGACGGTCGCACAGAAGACGTGGCTCCGACAATATCTTAGTCACATTTCTGCTCACAGGTTATGTTACTCCTCCAAGTACGGATCCGAAGCTATTACCCAAAGGTTTTAATTATAAGTTCGGTAAAAGTTGAACTTTGTCCCGACATTAGTGAATTTTATCTTGTTGGTTCAAGTCTGAATTCGGCTATATTTAAGTGTTTAGCTGAAATTTAACTTTGTAGTATTTTTTAAACTAAATTCTTTATTGGTGGTTTTCTTCTACATTCTTGTATTACCACCTAATTTCCTTGTTGTAATTTGTATACTAGTATGGTATTTTATTTATCGATCAATAACAAGCAACAAAATTTAAAATTTACAATTTTGGCTTCAACATTTACAAATGTAGTAAGTGTTGGATTTTTCTGTCCGAAATAAGTATGGTAATGCGCTATTTTTTATTTACATTTTAATCATTACTTATCATATAATCAGTAAATTGTAATACTTTTCATATTTATGTTATATGTTCATACCTCTATAAAACTATGTTTTTGGATACATACCTAGAATCTTGCAAAGCCTAGTGCCGATTTCACCTGTGCCAAGTTACACAACAGGATAAATGTTATTCACACGCAGATACAACATTTAACTAGATAACACAAATGTCAAAATAAAATTCAACCCCTCCGGTTGATACTCATAAAATCTATTATGGCAATAATATGATACTAAGACACCGTATTGAACTGTTTATGTTGGGTGAATGAAGAAGTATGGAATAAATTAAGATAAAGGTTTGCTCTCGTTAAGAAATAGTCGATACTCTAACCAATATAACTCTAAGAAACCCAATATCATGAATAGCTGCATCCTGTTTCCAATCAAAAGTGCTTTAAACTGTTAGGATCATATTAGATTAAATTATATGAGATTTGATGGTGTATTTAAAATTAGGGTAAATTTTTTAAAGGCAAAAATTTGTGAACGATTAGTATTGAATAAATTAGATAATAGCTTTAACTAAATGATAATAGCCTTGTAGAGGGCAATACCAGCTTTTTTATAGCCAGAAACGTTTATTAAAACCCTGTCCAGTTTTCAACCATGAAAATGCCACAGGCGTCTGTCAGAATTGAACTGGTGACCTCATTATTATTAGGTGAGCTCTAATGATAGGCTGAAAATATCATCAACAAAGACAAGATCCATGACTAAACTACTTCAATGTGGATTTATTTGTAGATCTTGTAGAGTATGAGCAATTAGGTGATAATTTGATTTGAATTTAGCTGGGATCTAACAAATAAGGATCATGCATGGCAAACAGAAATGTGTCTCAAGATATATAAATTTTACATTTTACCACGTTAACAATACTGTTATTATTCAGGTGTTATCTCTTAATAGATCCTTTTTGCTAGTTCTTTGGCCTCTTATTCTAGTCATAATAAATAGTAAATCTGCATTTGTACAGGTTACCTTTTATACTTCTAAAAGTATTTGTTTTTATCTTGTTTCAATTTACTAATATCTTATTTCCAAAGTAGGAATAGAGATGTGCGAGTAACCAAAATTTCAAATTATAGTTTGGCATTACAGCTTAAAATAATTGAAAATGAGTTTACAGCCAAAGAAAAAAAAACCATTTTTTTCATAATAACTGAATCAGCCTACTTTTACTCTTTAAAATTAGCTGATATAACTATAAATTTATATTTCTAAGTACTGTATTATGTAAATATGAAAATTGGAAAATTTTATAATACTACAAAAAAACCGAATGGTTGGGTCTTGAAATTAAATGGTAAGTAAATTTTATGTCGGACATGGGAATAAAATTTACATGTTAGAGAATTGAATATAACTAAAGCCAGACAAAAGGCCATCTTAAAAAATTATTGAGGGGGGGGGGGTTACAACAATTTTAAGACCTCACAAATAGCCTCTACACATCACAAAAACTGTCGTACTTCTCTTTTACTTTAGATTATAACTCATGTCTGATGTGACATATTTCAATACTCTGGATGCTACAGTCAAAGGAATGGTCATTTCTAGAATACCATCTCCTTAAATAGATAAAGGAGATCGCCCGACAGTAAAAATCAATAGATGAAAAGGAAATTGACAACTTATTAATGGGCTTATTAACATATTTCCACACATCGAATCATACTAATGTCAATCAGCCTGTTAAAGAGATTATTTGGAAACATCCAGAGTTATCTCTTCCAACAATGTGCAATGTGTTCAAGACAGAATAAATATCAATAGTAAAAACGTAAAAAGATGTTCTTACAATTTGATAAAAAAAACAAACAGTATACACTTAATGCAGTATACACTCATGAATTAGTGAAAAATTAACCTTTTGTTAATCTCAGAAGTATAATCTCTTTTAGATAATATTGCAGTATTGTCTGTCAATTGTCAGTGCTTGTTCAGTGTTATACAGTCAGTTTTACAAGTATTTTACTATTAATTTTGTAAATAAATTTGCTTTAACTTGTACTTCAACCGCTGTAGTTTTGGGACCAATCTCTGAAGCAAGTTATGTTTATGTTTAACTATACACTAAACTAGATTTTTAATTTTTACCATTCGTAATATCTTTATTTTTTAGCCAGAGTTGCAGTTAAGATTTAGAAGAAATAATGTTCAAGGTGAAAAATTAAGAAATTAAATAATTATGTTAGCAATTAATACATTAAAAAACTGTAGGTTACGAGTATGTCAATTTGTTGATTGCCCAAAATGTGTGTAGCAGATTTTAAATTTATTCTCACCATCTTGTTAAAACCTTAGATTGGATTAGTTTATTAATTGACATCTTAGATGGACAAATCTGGATAGTACATAAAATAAAATAATGTACATAAATAAAAATGGAAAGTATTGAGAATGCATTGTACAAATAATTAAACTAATTTAAAAACAAATTGGAAATGAACAAACAGTTTATTTTTTGCTTCAGTTGAGAGTTACACAAACTACATACAACTTGCAACGTTACAAAGATCATCGATATGTTCAAAGAAAGAAGTGAAACATTTTTTGAGACCACAATTTAATATACAGATTCAAAAACATAACGATAGATTTGATCAAATTTGAGCAATTAACTGTATACTATCTTATAAAATATTGATCTATATCCAAAATATTTGTATATAGGATGATTGTTTCAAATAATTAAAAACTTTGTAAAATTTGATAACGGTAATATTAATTATCAATATTTTATTTAGTCACAGTTACATTGTCATTAAGATTTTGAGTTCCTAATTAGTCAAGCGTAAATATTTGTATTGTATTTTTACGAATAAGTAAGTATTATATTTGTGTTTTCATAAGCTAGACGTTTCAAATTGTATTTGCTAGATTACAGTGATATTGCAATAATTGCTTAGCCAAGCAAAAAGCTAAAATAGACTTGTATATCGGTAATGAGTATTTAAAATGTTAATGGCTATTGTTGATCAAGTAATTTTAAGTCTAAATGTTAGCTCTCCAGTGTTTAACAAACCATTTTTCTGAATCATTAAATATGTTGTTAAATAAAACTGCAAAACCCTGTAAAAGAATTTTCTTTACCTTGATTACTAGACATGGAATATTAAACAAGGTGTTAATTTCAGTCGCTGATGCAAGCTTAATCAATCTGAAAGTATGAATACATTGGACGCTATACCAGGTAGTGCTGAACTAGTGCACTAAAAAAATATTTACTCTATTTATTTTTGTCTTATAATTTCTGTGCACTAGTCAATTCAAAATTGAATTGAATTGACTAGTACACAGAAGTTATAAGATTAAAAGAAATTGAGTAAATATTTTTTTATTATAAAAAACAAAAGGATATTTGTCTAATAACACTAGTACCTAATAATATATTTACACTTATACTGTTGACTCACAAGACGGTAATAGTATATTACGTCCTGAAAATAAGTGTTTACCGGATGAGTGTGTGCGAGACGAAGTCTAGTACAGGATTACCATACAAGTCCATTTTGGACGAGTTGCGTACAATAGTTTCCGCTGTACTACTAAATTCGTAAAAATCCATATATAACCACCGACTAAAGGACTAACAATCACTAGCCATAACAAGAGAGGTTATGTTTTTGTTTATAACCACTCATTGCCACCCAAATACAGTATAATAAGCTGATTGGTGTCTGGTTAAGAATGACAAGAATAAAAATGGCGTCCCTTATATACTATTGGTAACTGGAAGTACAACAGGAGTCAAAATGTCCTTGTTCATTAATGAGCTTATTTCTTTTTTTAATTTTTCCTTGTAAATATACAATTCTTCCCAAGCATTCATCACATTTCCTTTCTTACGATTCTACATTGTCTTCTGTTTTTCCTAATGATTGGCCATTTTGTAACAAGGGCTATGCGACATTTGATCTTTCCGGTTTGTTATTTCTCTATGCAGATGTGTGGTTTTTGAAACGTTTACTAAAGTTTACAGTTTGTCCAATGTAAACATGATCACAATCGTTACAATTTATTTTATATATGCTAGAAGAGTCAAATTTGTTATAATCTTCTATATATTTGGATGCAGTATATTACTCAATGTGTTCTCTGAAGGCTATTGAATTGATACTCCATATTTCTTGAATTTGTTAGCGATCCTTTGTGTCCTGGTTCCCGTGCAGCTAAATGTAACATATCTGGTGTTTTCTTCTTTGATTTCTTCCAACATTGTCCTGTTTTGTAGGTTTTTCTGGTTATCTATTTTCCGTCTCGTCTTTCTTGCGATTTCTTCTATATTTTTAATTAATTTCATAGCTGTAAAATTTTGTTGTAATTCCTAACAGTCTGAGGGTAACAAAAAAGTCGTATCGAGGGCCACATGCCATAGTGAAGATGCCTGTCCTATAGGTATTATTTTATAAGAAGTCAATTTGAACAAAAGGAATTACTAAAACACGCTTCTTTACTAATATTTGGAATTTATATTCTCACGCTTACAAAACATGACAAACATTGAACACTCTGGATCATACAAGGGAAATTAATAAATTATATTATTGACTCTCAGATAACTTGTTTCTTGTCTTGAAGACTGCCCACAGGAGATATAAATGGTACTTAAATCTAGTACATAAGATAGTTCAGTTGTACCTATATTACTTGCCTACATGTGCTGACTTGGTCTTAAAACTTACAAAGTGAGTTAAAACTACTTTCAGCCAATATCTTGTGTCAATGCATTTTGTGCAGCAAAGCAGGAAACCCCTTAATCAAAAATATGCAATCACTTCCATCACACACAACCAACTGTAACAACATGGGCACATTCACAGACAAAAATGTTATGATTGCTGAGAAACAAACAAAAGGGTAATTTGAAGGTAAAAGGCAACAACCGTATTCCTAATGACTCCGTTTTATGGCCCTATCAAAGTTTTAAAGTAGTTTGAAGTTGTTTTTTTATGGAGAAACTAAAACTAGAATGTCACAGCTTCATTAAACTTGCAAATGAAAGAACCTTTTTTCAGACGTAGGAATATTATTTAAAAAAAAGTTTAGTACTAGCAAAAGCAATAGTTGTTCTTCCTAACTATATTCTATAATAACTCAGTAACAATTTGATATTTCATGACTTAACTATTTACTGGTATAAACAGTAAATTAAATAAAAATTACACCTTGCTTAAAGGTTGGATGTTCTATAATTAAATATACAAACGTGTTATCTTTTTTGGGTTAATAAATCATCTTTGGAATGTTTGCTTAAATAGTATTTTGGTTTGATTTTAATATCACAGTTTGAACAAAAACGTTTTGTTTTACAGAGGGTTAAAATTAAAGAAGAATTTTAACCACATGTAAAATGGCATTGCACATTTTCAAAAAATAAATAAATTTAAATTATGAGATCAACAACAAAATATAGTAACAATTGCTGAAACTAGTGATGTGGGTCGGGTAAATACCCAGTGGGTAGGTAAATATAAATTGGGTATTTACCCGGGTTTTTACCCCAGGCCCGGGTAAATACCCAAAAACTGGGTATTTATAATTTTTATTAAAGTTAGAGAAGATTTAGATGTTTTTTTTTGCAATTATTACCCTGTAAGGATAGTAAAATGATGATAAAATGTGTTAAACAAAATTTCATATGGTCACTACTAGCATTTTACTTATGGGTATAATCGCCATAAATACCCAGGTCTGAGCATAAAGCATTATCGGCATAATACCCTGGTCGCATGGTTGCACTGGTCCTGACTCCTTATGATTTTGTAATTTCTATGATAGATAAATGAATTTATTTTATTGGAAGTGAAGAAAAATAATTTGTAAAGTAATAATTATTATTTAGAAAGAATGACAGGAAGATTTAACCTAGTAGTGGCCTATGTGTAAACAACTTATGAAAATAATTAAAATTCAATCTGTAGGATATGGCAGGATTTAATAATATTTTTGTTCTAGATCTTTTGTTGGTATCAATGGTATCAAAATAAAAAAAACCTAATTTCATAAACTTGTGATACAAAACATTTGAATCTATAGCACAATAAATCTTTCAAAATTATATTAAGTTAGACCAAAAAAAAGGAGTTACATTTTTTTAGTAGGTTTATCCAAATATATTATTGTTTCCAACTAAGCGGTAACACAGAAAAGTTTAATTACTTTTAGTATTCTGCCATTCTGCCTATGTCAATCAGGCCTTAGGTCTGTCTAGCCTTCCAAGCCACTTATACAATAGAAATTTTAACTATCATAATTAAATAACAGTAAAAGTAGGTTCACTATTTCTCTGATGAGGTGTTGTTTTGATTTCATTTCATAGGGAGTGTTTAGTTTCTAGCATTCTCAATCAAAGGTAGCATCACAGGCTTGTTTTATTACTGCACACCTGCACACCCAGCCTGTTTATGTTATGGTTATAAATTTATAAAATGATAAAAATTGAAATAGCCACAGCCTTTTTTAATATCCTATTTTTTATTATGTTAAATTTAACTGATGTTACTCGATTTAAGACACGAAACCCCATGCTTATTAAGAAACTTTATGTATTATTTAAAAAAAAGTGCTAAATCATTAAATAAAAGGTACTATCAAAGCTTCAAGTTACTGTAAAAGGTGTTATAGGCTATCCTAATTTATCATGTAGTGATAACAATAACATATTTAGGGGTAAATATAAACGAATTTAAATTGATTTCATAAATACCCAAAATACCCGGGTATTTATGGATTTTGGGTATTTACCCCGAGTTTTAAATACCCAGGTATTTTACATCACTAGCTGAAACCCATTTTTTTTCTACTATAATATGTGAAAGAATAGGAGCGGTAAAGCTCCACCACAACTATATAACATGTCTGAACTTAACCATTAAAATTATACTACTTCCCACAATATAACATATTTCATATTTGGTCTATATTTCTCACATCGTTCTCTAAACACAAAATCATAAGACAAATGGGAATGTTATTTAAGCATTTAAGTTCATCTCTAACAGGTTTAATCATTTGATTGATTTAAACCAATGAAATCAATTAATTAAACTCAACAATAGTACAATAAGTTAACAGAATAGCTAATTTCCTTTAACATAGCTAAGCTAGTAGCTTAAACACGATCGCTGCGGGCCACTCACAAGTGAGTGCTCTAGTTCCTTTCTGCCATGCTGAACGCTCATCCGTGAGCGCAGGCATCGCCTACATTCCATTCAACTTCTGCACAGTAGCACACCGCGAAGAACGGGTATTTTTATGTCTGCGTTTATCTAGGAGTGGGTGCTTTATTGTGGTGTAGGATCGGTAGTAAATTACCCTGTAAAATCCCCTTCTGGCAAGCTTAGAAATCAACTTGTTGTCTTGTCTTTCTCCCTCCAATTGGCAATACAATGGAATCGGCTAGTTCTAGACAGTGCTGCTATCTGTGAGTGTTTCAGCAAACCTCGTAGACTCTCGTCATAACGCAGCACATTACCGCACGTCAAACTGAAATATTTGGTAGCCAAACGGGTTTGCTCGATGGTGGGCCGCAGCGAACGTATTAATTAGCAAAATTCAATTTTAACCCAATTCATTTCAAATCCATATTTATGATATACATTTACAGAGAAAACTTTTATTATTCTAGTAAACACTACCATTGTTCCAAAATGAAAACTCATCTTTTAAAATAACAGTTCAAGTTACCAAAACAATAATTATAGCTTAGGAACTCGTTATTTCCATAAACTGCAGTCAAATAAATCAAAATCTTATACTGTACAATGCAATATTACTCATACAATTCAATACAAACTAATGTAATCCATCAATACTGGAATAAACAATATACTGGCATGATCCGTAAACCCTACTCTTTCACACTAGTTTGCTTCTTACTAATTTAACTGGCTTGACTAAAAGCCGTGCCACCTTATATACACTTCTCAGATGTAAATTTAAAAATTCCAATTTAGTGAAATGAGCATAGAAAACACTACTGAAGATCAATTTTCTTTCTCTTTTGGTTTTTTTAGGTACTGAAGCGTTTCAATAAGTGGCCGTTCCAGTTTGACACAGTTACAAAGTTGGTTTACAAAAAAGGGACTTTATGTAAGAAAGTACTGTAAATTACTTGAAGTTTTACACTTTGCCGGTGGCTCATGGGTAATTTTTATTCTTAAAATTGCTGCAGATTTAACATGGAAAATGGATGTTTACTACAATTAGTACAAATGGGAACTTTAAAAAAAAAATTAATTGAATATCCCCACCGAACAACACAGCAAACGACATATATTGTTTGAAATTGAGATTAAAAAAAACTACCATGCAAATGACTTTCTCCACTGTGTGGGATATTTTGTTTTTACAAATACATTGGTTGGCAGCACTTATAAGCTATCGAGTGGCAAGAAACCGGCTGTGTTGGCATTAGCGCGGCCAGAATAATTTTGTGTTGTTTAAAAATATCCACTTGTAACGTTGTTCGGTGGAACTATTCAATTATTTTAACATCTAATTTGTGGCCCGATCAATCCACACCCAGAAAACCACGGTTATACTTAATAACTAGCATTACTTTGGAACCCTCCTCCCTTTAAAAAAGAAACAAACAGGGTGGACTAAGTACCAAATAACATAATATTACCATTACTGTGATTTTATAATAACAGATGTTGTATACCTCACACACAGACAGACACCCATCAAATAACAAAAACAATACATTTGACTAAGATATAGTAATACAGCATATGTGATTAAGATTTAAGTAACTAAAAATACTTAATATACAGTTAATAGCAAACTACAGCTCTTAACGTAACTATGATATAACATAATACTAATAGCAATATTAACAAATAACTTGGGTATCTCACAAAAATATTAGAATCAAAACCAGTATGGATCATAATCATAAAAAAATTACGCAACTGGTCCAAATACTATACTAATAACAATAACATTAACATATGGTTTAGACAGTTTTAGTTTTACTTTAAGGGCAGTAACATCATTTGTTTATGTTTATGATCCATACCGGGGCTGTTCTAGTATTCGTGGTTTCTCCATATGTAACAAACAAATATAATACAAGTGAAAACAATATTTTCATGCAACAAAGATAAACTTGACTGACCCAAGCCTGTGAAAACTTGTAAATTCTTTTGTAAAAAAAAAAGCAAACTAAATTAAATTTTCTATTTTAAAAATCTAGTCCAAATGCTTGTAGGATAAAAAATGATTCAAAATGAGCTATGATTCACTTATTTTCACTTTACTTACTTTCATTTAAAAAACCATCAACCATATATGTAAATATAAAACAGCACAACAGACATATTTTTCAATATACAACCGTAAGGCTTTGGCCAGTAACAGTTATCAAGTGAAAACGTATTTAAGTTTAAATTACAGTAGACCCCCTCTTACGGACCCTAACGGGACCAGACCTACGTTGGATAGCTCAAAAAGTCGGTTAAAACGGGCAATAAAAAAAAATAAAAAAATGAAGTTCCATTTATTTAGAGTCATATAATTACCATTCTGAAGTGGTCCGTGCATTAAAATTAACTACACTAATCTCCTTTTTTTATTTATTTTTTAAGAGGTTGGTGGCCTCTTTAACCCTTGCATTTGCCCGTCCACATAGACTACAGATCTGTGCGTGGAACATATCCAGCAAAGCAAGGGGTGAGCCGGTACCTCAAAGGTGAACTGTGCTGATAAAATGTTTGCGACAGTGACAAGGATCCGTACCCACGACATCGCCGCCTTGGGCTCGAAGTCTGTGACACTACCACCGACTCACCAAAGTTTTCTCAAGTAGGCTATTGACGATAGAAAAGTAACAATAAAACCCAAAAACGTTGGTCAAATACTTTCACATGAATGAATTATGATCTTAGGCAAGAGTCAATACAAATTCTTATTATAATGCCTTTAGTAATATTAATTTATGCTTTCCAAATCCAACCTAATACAGTACAGAACTTATTGTCAAAATTAAAGATACAAGCAACCATTTGGTTACGAGACAGGATGTTTATTTGTACAGTAACATCCTGTAGAATGAAGCGTATTGTCCCCATTAACGGGAGTGGAAATGCCGAGATTCCTAGAGAGTGGGGGTTGAACTGAACTGCTGTCAAACAAGGTCAGTTAATACAAACTGTAATATTTTATGAGCCAGGATGGATAATCTGATTACTGGTTAACGCGAGGTCAGTTAAGTGGGAGTCTACTGTAAAATACATTAGTACTCACATTGATTGTGTAACTTAGTATTTGGAATATGAAAAAGAATTCACAAGTAAACGCAAAAAGTAAATTCAACTTTTTAGCATACCTTACTTAACTTTACAACAAAATAAACTCTTTGTGCAATGACACAACAACTAATAAGTAAGGTAATATCAAGGGTGACACAAATTGCCTACATTTTGATTTCATTTTATTAATTCTACACTACCATTCGCTTACAGCACTCCATGTTAAGCAAAGCTATGAGATCAACAAAACCTGATTCATTATCACTAATATCATTAATAACTAATTACTAAGCTGTTAAATTTCATCCTCACTTTCTCAAATAATGTTATGACTAGGTAGGAATATTTGCCACAAGTTGCTCACAGTCATTTTCATTATCTTCCATCATCATCTCCGAGTCTACACTCTGAAAAATATAAATATATCATTAAGAAATCTTCAGCTAAAATATTATGATTGTTGAAGACATAACAGAGCACAAGGCTTGAGCTCTTTTTATGTTATAATCATGAACTTTGCAAAAAAAATCCCTTAGTATTTCCTTCAGATGACAAAGATTTTGGAATATGAAAATACAAGGGTTAGTCATCATTATGTAGTAAAGAAAACAGTGCTTACAGACATTTCGATAAGCTAAATTGGCCAAAATCCTTTCTGTATTTCTTTGCCAAGCAAAAACACGGATGGCTCCCTTATATTCACCAGAGCATTGTGGCATTTAACAAAATGGGAGTGGAAAACACTGCACAAACACCAACAAGTCTATCAACAAAATCCGCAGAAATAACAGTTTCCTGGCATCTACAACCATTTTGCGGATATCTTCCACCTGTTCGGGAATGGCTAAAAGAATTTAGCTTTAAAATTGTCCAGTGACTGACCTGGGTTGATCAAGTCAAAGTGATCTGAGCCGTTGAGTCCGTTGGAAAGAAAAGGTCCGTCGATATCACCCAGAGGGAATATACTGTCCACACTTCCCACCTTGTGAGCTCCTGGCAGACTGATCCCTTCCGTGATTCCGTCCGTGTCCCTCATGGCAAGGATGTCCTACACGAGATGTCCCCAGTTAATACATCTCACAAGTTAATCACATAAAGAAGGACTCTTTGAGGACAAGTGCAAAATTTTTATCCTGGCTATGATTTTACTAATGTTTATGTTATTTTCAAAAACAATCTGGACACAACCATCTCATTTTTATGGAGACTATACAATCTGAAAACAGTTAAATTGCGGAAATATAGCATGGATAAATTATATTAGGCCTATAGTAAACATGAAGATTTAGGCTAGTAGAGAATAGTAAAAGTAAAAGTGAAGCTTCAGAAAAAAATACTCTTTACAGCATTGCAAAGATTTATCATTGTATTGGTGAGACTACAAACACAAACTGAATATCAAGCTCTCAGCAATAATGGCAGTTGTATTTTAAACTATATATATCTTGTGTGCAGGCTAAGATTTCGACCCGAAAATGTCATACAATCCAAGATGGGTTTTCTAAATAAATTTGATTTTGCAGCATTGAAAATAGAATTGCATTGAACTCTTTGCAGAAAATAGACAGGACCTAACAAATCTAGCAGAAAATGTATTAGTGGAAGCTAAAAAGTTGGTCTGTTAGTAAATGAAGACAAAACACAATATATGAAAATATGTAGAGAAATTGATATTGATGTAGCATGGATCAAAGTAGCACCTTTAATTTATTATTATTTATTTAAGTAGCACCTTTAGAAGTATTGAACCATAGCTTTAAACTAATTAATGGATTTAAATACTTAGGGGTAACTGTAGTCAGTAATAATAGAGAAGATAATGAAATTATTAGTAGAATAAGATCTGCGGAAAGGTGCTACTGGGGCCTGAATAAGGTATTAAGCAGCAAACTATTGAGTAAGAAAACTAAAATAAGGATTTACAAGACAATACTTTAACCAATAATACTATATGACTGTGAAATCTGGGCTTTAACAAAGTATTCAGAAAGAAAGCTAATTACTTTTGAAAACAAAGTATTAAGGAAAATATACGGACCTATTCATGAAGCAGGAGTGTGGAGGATAAGGAAAAATAGTGAACTGAGAGACTTATATCATGAGCCAGACCTAATTGCTTTAAGAGTAAACGATTGAGGTGGCTAGGCCACGTTTTAAGAAGGGAAGAGTCTAGTTTAATTAAACAGGTATACACAGGTAGACCAAATGGTAGAAGACCCAGAGGAAGGCCAAGACTGCGTTGGAGAGACCAAGTCTTGAAAGATGTAAGAGAATTGGGAGCAAGAGAAGAATTGACCAAAGACAGGGAAAAATGGAGGCGGATCGTTGGCGAGGCTAAAAACCACTTTGGGTTTACATGGCCACAGGAGTAAGTAAGTAAGTAAGCATTGAAAATTGAAAATGTAAAAAGAAGTCAGAATGATGATTTAAATACTTACATTGAGCATGTCAGGCATGTCATTATGAAGCAGTTCGGGCAGCGTGGAGCAGTTTTGTTCCAAAGGATCGGGCAGAGGTAAGGTGTTTGGTACAGTCTTCTCATCATGAGTAGCGTCTCTTTCCACTGGTGGTTTACGTATTGTGTTCTTCTAAAAATATATATCTATTTTCAGTACATCCACATAAATAATATGTAGATTTCCCAAAAAAATTAAAAATGAAAATACTTGAAGTGATAGTTTACATTAATTTTACAACTTTTGAAAGATATTTGTTAGGTACTTGAAGGGTTTAGGAAATATGGAGCTAAGTAGGCCTACTTCTAACTTTGTAGGTAATGCTTGTTTGGTTTTAAAATTTAAAGGACTAAGCTTGTTTGTTCTCCATGCAAATTTCATATTATTTTATAAATAATCTAAAAAAAAACTATGATATTAGGTGTTAACTCATTACAAAAAAATATTGAATGAAAATACCTTTTCGAGCAATAATCTTGGTTTTTTTGCAGGCGAGGCAGTCTTCTTTTTAGGAGATTTCAGTTTTCTGCGAGAAATATTGGGACTCTGTTTGAGCTTAGCTTTGGACGTTTTGGTGGGATTCTGTAAGTAGATAGCACACCAATTTTTAAATAATTATTTACTATTTATAAAATAGCACATGGTTGGGCATAACAGGGATTTTGTGAATAATAACTTATACATGAAAGAAAATTTATTTTTACAGAACACTGTATTTATTAAATGTATGATTTAGGATATTGTTAAATTTACAAGTCAAAAAAGCTATTACCAAAAGAAAGTTGCAATGGTGATGTAGGGATAAACAATAGATATAAATGATCATAATTTTGTTTTGGTTCTAATATTTACACCATTTCAACAACACAACTTCTTGCCCTACTTAAAAAAAAAGTGAGGCAATCTAACTCTGTGTCAGTGGCGACCCTAGCGATTGTGGGGCTCAAGGCGAAGTTCAATAGCTCTCTTAATACCTGAAATACGGCTGTGCGAGGCCCCTGAAAACGCAGAGCCCCAGGCACCAGGTTCGCCTTTATGTAGGTCCACCTCTGCTCTGCGTCGTAACTTGATGTAATTTGATAGTCTTATTAAAGTTTATTTTTTTATTTAACAACCAACTGAAATAGTTTGTTATACAAACAACTTACATATAAAATTTATGTTTATCCTTAATCTTAATTTATTTTCTACTACTCTGGGTTCCCAGTAATTTTAGTTTCTTACTATCTGTCCAAATCCTTTTTTTCTCTGGATATCCATAGTTCTTTGTTATTCAGACAGATCTGGACTTACCTCTTTCAACATCCGACACACTCGGAGTTGCAGTGACACCTCAATATTTCATTTCCCTGTTTCTGCAAGGTTATTTAAAGACCTAGTTAAGTTAACAGTATCAGCTTTGTCGGTAGTTTTTGTTGGTTAGTAACACAAAATAAAAAATCTGTAAATAATGAATGTTCTTACCTTGTATAGTAAAACCCATACAGATAACATACTTTCAATTAATTGGTGTTTGTAAAAAAATGTATTATTTAATTTTAAAACACAAAATTAAACACACCAGTTTATACCTTAATTGATATTTTCTCTTTAACGTATTCTCTGAAGAATTCAATACCACAAAATATCAGCATTAAGTTTTGTGACCAATTTTTATGTACCTATTAGTCCCCAGAATTATTTTTCTCAGAAGCTTGCTGAGTCCTACTATCCCTTAAAAAAAACTCCTATTATCAATTTTGTTAATTTTTAGATAGCCGTTTTTAAAAGTTTTCCACCTCCTAAAATACCACCCTAAGCTGAGCCTAGGTAAATCTGGTGTATTTCAGAGGTATTTAGGTCACCTGCTAAAATTCTGCTATAATTTGAGCAGTAAAAATATACATTTCCATTTCCACATTTTAAATTTACCTTGCAGCAGTTTTGTGGTGAGGGTTTCCTCTTCCTCTTGTTGGTGGGTTGTGGTTTTTTGACAATCTGAGGCTCAACGTCTCCTAAAGATGACTCAACTTCATCTTCATCAAATTCTAATTTGGTTGCTGGCTTCGCTAAACCTAAGAGACAATTGTATTGAAAATGTTTTCTTAATTTGTTTAGTTGACATAAAATTACGTGGTACAGTGGAGTCCCGATAATCCGAACTTCGGTAATCCGAAAGTCTCCTTAATCCGAAACCAAAAAATATATTTTTTATATTTTTTTGATAAAAAAAATTAAAGTTTCTAAAATTTTAAAATTTTTTTATTAAACTTTTAACACACTTAGCTGTACCTTGTCAAATTATTCTGTAGCGGCCGGGCGAGATAGACTTTTTTGTAGAGTATTTTAGTAAATATTTCACCATTTTTGTTATTAACATTTTTCATTTTCGTCCGCCAAATCACAAATGGATTTTATTAAGTGATAATGCTGCAGCCACTAGGTCTAGCCTTAAGTAATGTGAAAAACAATCCCGGGCTCGTGCCTGCGTCCTAAGACAAAAAAAATTTCAAAAAATTAAAATAAAACAAAAACCATTTATATTGAAATATTTGGTAATCCGAAATGGGCCCGGTCCCAACCATTTCGGACTTACGGGACTCTACTGTATGAGATACGTAATTCTAGCAATAGAAATATTGAATGGTTTTTGTTGACTATTAAAGGAAGAGTTCAATTGTTTTAACAAAGTGTAAAAACGCCATTAATGTTATACAAGGATGGATTTGTTAATTTTTCTCTTACAAAATTCCAAAAACTAAAAAACAAATGTGTTGTACACCTGGATTGCTGCTCCTTGGCAAACAGTTTCAAATATGTGACTGCAAATTGGAAAATATTATTAGAGTACCCCATGATCTAAAAATGGACAGTTTACAAACAAATGCTGGGATTTTAAACGAAGTTGCTCGGAGACTATTTAAAGATGATTAAATAATTTAAATGTCAAATTGAAGGGAAAAGAACGTTTTTTCTTACCATTTTGATAACATTTGGAATAAATTCATCAAATTCAGATTTCCATCAATCTCATGAGCTTAAAACTGGCAAAGTGTGTAAGCTTAGGGAGATCGTAGGGTTTCTCTGATGTCAAGACTGAATTTTGTAGGCACAAAGACTCAATATTTTACGGATAATATCATCAAGAAGTGTCGATTTAGGTGGTTAAGCTGAAGACGTCGCCAGGAAATAGATTATTTCGGGCTTCTGATGCAGAATTGTCGGATTTCTTTGACTTTGTCATCACATGTTTTTAGCCAGCCAGGTGGATGTTCTTTCAAAACACTCATTAAAACAACGTTAAACTTCTTTATCATCAAGTAGATTTAAATTTAGTTTAATTAAGCAATCAATTTAAACTCTGCGAACCACAGATTACACTTTGTGCCTTCTTTTGCACCGAAAACATCATACTGATGACTGGCGTAAGGCGTGTGAGTCACAATGGAGGCCTACCATCCTGCACCTGTTGTGCACAATGTCAACGTTTCCTCCCTTGCTATACAGGAAACAAAACTTAGTTATTTTAACTTTAATTTGACGTATGAAACGTTTAGTTACCTTGAAAGGTACCCAAGCAATTGCCATTTAAAATCCCGGCATTTTTTTATAAACACCCTGTATGTAACGGCCCTTGACTGCAAACTGGATACAACTGCTAGAGGTTACTTGCCTTTGATCTGCAGCGCCTCTGCCACCCGTAATATTCTTGGGAGCTGAGACTGTGGCACATTAACTTCCCCGCAGTACATGAAGGCTACCAACGCTTGAAGCTCCCAGAACCTGTAGTCCTTGAACATGATGATGGGATGTTTACAGGCGGCTGCGCTCAGAAGGTCGTAGAAATACGGAGAACAAGCAGCCAACAGAATCTACAAAATGTCGGACGTTACAACTAACCTATAGCCTAACATGTGAGGGTAAGATACAATATATATTTTTCATTAAAAATCTAGTTATTTTTTAGATCCAATGCTGAAGACAGCATCAAATTCCAGAGGCATAAAATGGAAGCTGATATTATTGTTATGGCTGTAAATCTTCGCAACAGAAAACCCTGTAATAAACTTCAAAAATTAAATAGTAATTATATTTTTATTTTAGGTACCAGTAATGTAAAAGCTGTGCTGTGACTTTAATTATTAAATTATATGAAGTATTCATCTGTTAATGAAATTTGTATTCAAGTCACATATACGATCCTTTGTTGGTAGCGTATAAAGTGATGATTGATAATATTTCATCCACATCAAACTTTGATTATTATATAGAGCTTTGACACTTTTAAGAGTTTCAGCAGCAGCAATGCAAATGGAATGGACAAAAAACCAATTCCTGAGGTAAATCTTTTTAAGTGGGGAATCAAGATGTATGTGGAAGAAGAGGTGTTCACAAAAGATTTTCAAGTAGGCTACTTTTATTTTTAACGTCGAAGTTGTACAAGCTAAGTTGTACAAACTACCTATATAATTTATCTAATAAATAATAATTGAAATCTTTTAGTTTCAAAATTTCTAGCTTTGAATATAACGTTCTGGCTGAAGAGAATAACTTTCCCAACGTTTACAATAATTGAACTAGCTACATTTTTATTTAAAAAAAAATCATCAATATAGAGTAGCACATGATTGTTCATTGCTTTACCTTGTGACACCTGAGGGATTGTCCCTCGCAAGCTAACGTGACGTCTACAAACTGTTCATCCTGTAGCAGCTGAGGAAGAGTCGTAGTCATGTTGTTTACGTAGGTGTTCCACTTTATACACATTACTGGTTCCGGCTGGGTCTCGCACTCCACTACTTCTTTTCTACCTTTTTCCTTCTTTCCACTTTCACCTTTCACGAATTCAGTTTTTTTTCGACTTCTTTTTAAACTAGAATTCTTCTTTATAGATTGTAGTTTCTTGGGTATTGTTTTTCGTGTAATCCTCTTTGATGGCTCTTGAACTGCAATAGAGTAAAGAAGCTTATACAAGGGCTCTGTGAATTAAAGTCTCCCATTGTGGCTAATCAATTTAGTCCATGTAAGATCTATACTGATTCTACCCCACAATACATACGATGAAGTCTCTTCATATGAACCAAAAAGTATGTGACGGAAAACAGGTGATCCTACCATGTAAATTCTGTGATTATGTTTCTGCGAGATAGGAGTCAACCTGCTAGTGGGGATGGGAACCGGCTAGAACAGTAGTGAATGAATTTTAGGACAAGGCCCATGTAGCACAGATGGTTGGGCCAACGTTGGCCAACTGTGGGACAGTTGGTCGATGGTTGGTTGGAGCTTCCACAACCAACCAACCGTTGTCCAACTGTATATCTCGTAGTTGGGCCAACCAATATTTACAACTGTGGACCAACATTGGTTTATTGTTAATGAAATACATTAATATGCATTGCTGGGTATCATACATCAAGCCAACCGTTGTCCAACCGTTTTTCACTCGGTTGGACCAACAAAAGATACTTTTGTTGGACCAACAATGGTCCATAGTTGAGTTTACACGACTTTCATTCTCTGGGTCTAGCTTTCACAACATAATTATAATAAAATATCTGGTTTTACAATACCTTTATCAGTTCCAAAAGTTTCCAAAAGTTTTTGGAACTGATAAAGGTATTGTAAAACCAGATATTTTATATATTACAGTTCCGGCGCTACAACAATGAATTTTAATAATGCAAATATTTTTTAAATTAATATTCTTTAACTTATTTGCAACAATTTAAGGGGAAAGAGTAATTAATCATATAACAGGCAATTATAATAGCATTAACAATCTAACGGTAATTAATTAATCATTCAAATACCAGTATCCTCTCTAACTCAAAAAAAAAAAAAAAACTACTTATGATGCCTTAACAGATTAACAGAATCATATTATACTGTGTAGTATCAAAAATTGAAGTATTGCGACCATTGCAACTGTCGGCTGCTCTTTCACCACTTGAAAACTCTCTATATCAGCAATCACAGATAGCTCAGTGGTAAAGTAAGAGGCTCATAAGTCGAAGAACCCGGGTTCGAGACCCGTCTGGGCCAAAAAAATTTTGTTCTAGTTTTTTTTCAAAATTTGTTTTTATGAACTATTTAATCAATTTACTCAACTAATAATTATGCTTTTCGTACTAAATCTTTATTATTTTGTGTGAAATAAAACGGTTGGACAATGGTTGGCTGGAAAACAGTTTAAAGAGGTGACATTTCTACCGTTGGCCAACTGTGTGGCTCCACAATTTACCAACGTTGGCCCAACCATCTGTGCTACATGGGGGTGTTGGTCTTAGATTTGAACAAACTTGCTTGGCCGCGATGGAAGTGTGATGGAGATCTTAATTCACAGACAGCTCTACACTTGTATTTTATTCTCTCATTCTCATTCTCTGTCATTATTAGTTTTGGCTTTCAAAGGATCAATATATAGTAATTAAATTAATGAAGCCCAAACACACAGGTGAGTGAGGTGCAAGCTTAGTGGTTAGCTTCTCTGACTTTGAGAAGAGTGGTTCAATCGTTGGCATATCCACAACAACTTGGTTTTAAATCGCTTTTCCTATATGATCGTTTGTAATTTGACAACTGAATTTTAATTAGTTTGAATATGACAAGATTAGTGACTGTTTACAGTAAACCAGCACAATTGTAATACAGTAGTCCAAATAGTTAAATAGGTACCTCAATAATATGACTGTATGATCAGTTCACTGTAGGGCTTAGGCTAGCAAAAATAAAGACACAATTTTAGGGACTGATCTCATATATATATATATATATGTAAACAATATGCCCAGTTTTAGTTTACTGGGTTAGTTATCTTTAAGAACGGTGCAGTATAAAAAACATAGCTCACACCTAGTAAGTGATTTTTTCGACAAACTTATTTCTGACCTCATTCATTTTGTTAAAAGCTTGTAACAAAAAGAATCACTTTAGGCACGGATGATTAGGCCTAAACTGCTAGCTAAAATCAAAAGGCTTCTAAAACCAGTCACAAAAAAATTAATTTTCCATTGAAAAGCAGACATTACCTGACGAGCCAAGTTTATTAATTGAGGGCAGATGGATGTTGTGTGCGTAGAGAATATGTCTGCGAAGGTTGGTAGTGCCACAGCGGTTGGGCGAAGTCCCTCCTCTAGACATTTTGATGCCACATAACAGGCAGTCTGCCATAACCGCATTGTCTTCACAAACTTTGAAATAAGACCAAACAGGACTAGTCTGGGCCCTTTCCCTCTCCTTTTCCTCTCTCTTTGTTTCCTTATTTTCACCCATGTTTTTAATTGTATCTCCAGAGTATGGTTACTCCTAGAACAAATTAAAGAGTAGTAAATAATTTTATATCCATAATAATTGTAGTCGTTATTTTCATTTAAAAATTATTTTAGCCTAAGTTAAAGCTATAATGTTACACAGTACCGCCACCGGTAAGTTTACGTGTAAAATTTGTTGTATGTGTAATTTTGTCACAATTTTTTCAATAGGGTTCTAACAAATTTTACAATAGATAGGCCTACCAAGTAAAAATCAAGTTGCAGCAACATTGAACAATAATTGAGGGCTATTTAAAATGGAATCAGTCAATCGCAAGAATTGTTTGTTTGATAATTTGTTGGTGCGCCCAATTTTATTATTTTGTTTTGCTTCGAGGGCCTGAGACGAAGTTTTAAATAGTTACGGTATCATCCACCCCATTTACAGTACTGAGTTATCTATTTACATTGATGATTTATAGCCTATCTAAAAATGGATTGTGTCCATACATTATTGACGATTTTATACTCATATGCAGCTTACGTTAGGTAGTATACATTAAAAAAGTTAAAATAAACTTACAGTTTATAAATTTATAAGATCGTTTTAAAATATCAACTACAACAACAATACCACACTACACTTTATTGATAATAATGACAGTGGAAAATAAACAACATAAAAACTGTAACCAGACGATACTAGGTTATACAGAAGAGGTGATAAGGGAGAGAGGAAGACACTCACGAGAGACTTCGTGATCGATTTTTATTCCGTGTCCTGCACGCTATGGCTATACCATTGAATATAGAAAATAGTGTTCAAATTGTGATTTTCAAACTAGAGTTAGTTTTAATCGTTAATTGGTTTAATGATAAAATAAAACTAAAACAAACTCTTTAAAAAATATTTGTTTGGTATAGTTTGTAAGATAAAAGTTTGTTTTATTTTATCGATTATAGTTTTTAATTGTAATCTACACAAAATAGCTTTTACTACAGTCACCCAACAAAGTTGGCTTCCTTGCACTGTTTATAGTACAGAAAGCTGCTAATTGCTGCATTTACTTACTTTGTCGTACGGTTTATACTTTGGCGCACATCAGGATTCCAACCTTTGCGAACCAGCATGATCGGACTATGGGATCGGGGGTTTATGAAGTAAAAATTTTTTTTCAAATTTTTGACCGAAAAACATACAATTTAGCAAATTCTTTCCAAACTATACATTTATTTATTAAAAACAAACAATTTTGTAGAGCTTAGAAAAAATTTATGTTAGGTCCACGACGTATGAAGTGGCGTAGGAAGTAGGCCTAGTAAAGTTTAGCATCGCAGAGTGTGGGAACCGTCTGTGGCAGTTAGATTAATGTATCTTCAATCCTAAAATGTTATGAGAAGCGAAGGAACAGGCCCACGACGTAGGAAGTAGGGAAGGCTGGCATGGCAAAGTGGGGGAACCGTTTGTGGCAGTTAGATTAATTTATCTGTAATATTTAAATGCTATGAGAAAGGAAGGAAACAGGTCCACGACGTAGGGAGTGGTGAAGGAAATAGTAAATGCGAGCAGTATTGAGTTTGGGAATGGATGTATGTATCTGGATTAATGTATCTGCAATACTAAGACTGCTTTCAGAGTAAACTAATGATTTCCCCTCCCCAGGTACTAAACTATAAACACAAAATGACAGGTTAAATCGTAGCACAGAAAACATACTATAGGCATGTCTCCTAGTATGTTTTCTGTGATCGTAGTTATAATAGTCAATCAGCTGATCATAGTAGAGGATCATACCAAAACAGGGAAGAATATTATTTTCTTGGCAATGTAAACTGTGCAGGGTGTGGGTGGTCAGTCACGGAAAACGCCTGTCAGAAGCATTAAAAAAATATCCAATTTAATTTGATCATTGATTATACATCTCCCTTTAGGTGACTTAGTAGTTAGTAGAGATTATTAAACGACTTTATCGGGAAATAATAAAATATGAACATTGACTACCAGTGGTGGTTCCAGGACTTTGTCAAGGGTGTTCCAAAACAGGAGGGGGGTTTGGGGGGCCCTCCTTTGGAAAATATGCTATTTTTAAAACCATTTTGTGACTTTTAAAAGCATTTTTCAAGGTCTACAGTAGAACTGTGTCCAAAAACCTCCGTTACGTTTTCATAACAAAATGTATGTTTGAATTTATGATTTCAGGTTACGATGGGGGACTTTGGCCCCTAGCCACCCTCCCCCCTTGGAACCACCACTGTTGACTACAGATATAGATACACTTCGTGCTTTTTGCTAGACCTCCTTGTGCAATAGGAGGCTAAGATAAAACTATAGACTAACCAACAGAAGTAACCAATAAAACACAATAATTAATTATTTAACTCTATGATGACGACTCAAATTATTCGATTCTATATTCATTTCATATAGCGGAGGCTCGAGGAGGCTATGGTGCTATGGTTTATTCTGCCATGGTTTAGAATTATATCTCAGTGGTTTATTCTGCCATCCCGATTCCCACATTCCCCAGTTTTATTCTCCATGCTATGGTTAATTTCACGTTTTCCGATCCGATGTCCGTCGTCTTAACAAGACGTAGAATTATTTTCTATTACTCTCGCTGTCGCATCACTCGCATCGAATCGTGTGTAAACGTAAAGTAAAATGAAATGTATTGCTGGTTGGTTTGGTTCGTTTCGTAGTTTGCTATAACCTGTACACTACCTGCATAATGTTTTCATTCGGTCCGTTTAATTTACTCGGTTTGTTGCCCAAGGCCAAATAACGGAGTTTTTGTGCAGCAATAACCTTAACACCAACTAAAAGTGCAAATATTTTTTTTCAGTTTTCTTAGGAATATTGTGCTTAAAGTAAAGAATCTACACCATCACTAGCACAAAGATAACCTCCTAGCCTAACTTCATCTTGACCATTTATTTATCACTGTGACCCTAATTAAGTTATGTGGTGGTAATAGTGAGTGACCAATTATGTCTTCATCAGGTAATTTTGGTAGGTTTCTTGGCACTATTAATGGTCAACCCATTATTCTGAAGGACGATATGAGTATGAATTCTATATCTGGGTTTGGCTCTGATATTTTACATCAGGCTATTGATGATGTACCTTCACCTGATAACTTGACATCAGACCACATAAGCTGCATTAGTAACATTGTTTTGGACCCTGATCAAAATGTAAACGTATTAAGTACCAATGATGCTGGAAGAAATGAGTTCATCGCTGTGTTGTCTAACGATGGAATTTCAGATGAAACCTCAACTATAAGCCTTACTTATGAACAAGCCGCACAACTGGGAATTCATATCACTGTGGATACACCTGAGCCAAGTCTCATGGCAGACAGTGTAACTAAAGAAATTATTGACTGCTCCACGGATCAAAGTCAGTTCAGGAGTGACAATAATGACGAAAGTTTGCAGCCAAATGATACAAGCTGTATGAATTCAGAGGTTGCAAGTAATTTAACAGAAGATGTCTTGCTTGACAAAAATGGTGAAAATTCATTTCTAGAAAATTTTAATCCTGATGCTTCTCACAACCAACAACTTACACTTATACCTCATATCATCAATGGGACCGTTACATATACACTACAGTTAACTGATGAAAATCTCACTGGTCTGAGTAACAATGAATTATTTAGGCTTAATGCGCCTCCTGTTGTCAACGAAACTTCTGAAAGTGTTGAGAGCGATTTAAATAATCTTGCGTCAACATCTGAGCTACCCTTTATTAACTCCCCAGTAGATTTAATTAATAGTAAAGGGTTAATACAGTCCAATGAAGTAAACGAGTCCAACAATCCTGGACAGACATTTGGAATTGTGACTTGCAATTCAGAAAATGTTACGTTTCTTAATCTTGCTGAGGCTATTCCTGTAGGTACAAACATTTCCAACATAGTTTCACATATTAATAACATTTCTAATCAAAATGGTACGCAGCAAATAAAGGCGACTTCTTTATTACATAGGTCAAATGAAGCGTTTAAACAACATTCTGTCAATCAGGGAGGAGAGTCATTACTTAAGATTCGACAGTCTTCATTACTCAAAAATGGTGTAAATAATAATTCACAGTCATCAAAGGGCTCTACTAGTGGTAGAATTGTTGACAAAGTAGGCCTAGTGTTCAATAACCAACTAACTGCAAGTAAACTTATACCCAAGTCTATCATCAATGACAATTCAAATAGCAGTTCAGATGTATTTATGCACCCAAATGAAAGAAATAATTGTCTGGGATCTGTGAACACTTTGATTTCAAATGATTTACCAAATGGACTTACCAGTGAAGCTACGATGAATATGCCAAAAGGCGATGCTTCTCCTCTTGATGCATTCAGGTACAGTAACTGTTCTATTTTAAGTTTTAATTTCTTTAAAGTTTTTAGAAGAACAAATATATTCTATAAAAGGTATAAAATTACCTGAGTACTGCCAGAGTGATCCTGTTAGTCCTTATGGATTACACGTTTCGAGGACTTGAGTCCTCATCATCAGATCTTGTACAAGAACATCACAGGCAGTAGGTAGGCCTACTCTGGTAATTTGATACCTTTTATAGTTTGTTCTGTGATGCAGAGACAAAACAACTCAAAATAACTTATGACGCATATATAAGTAGCCTAGATCTCAGGCACAGATAGGGATTGTTGATTCTTTGGATGTACTCAATGTATTGCATATATGCTGAAGAAATGTGTCCATAATGTAAACAAAGATTTTTGGATTCTCGAGCTTAGAATAGGCCTACTTACCAAAAACAACTAGTATCTACAGCCATGCCAACATATGACAAACAAACCGAATTCACAGAGAAGATCAGAATGGCACCTACATAAACGTATTGGAAGTGATAACACACTATAGTCTTTTCTCACCACATTTATGCGGTTTAAGGGAAAGTTCCCCCACTACTTTTATTGTTTAATGTAGGCCTATGTTGCAGTTGATTGACATTTGACAAACCTCAGCTGTTGATCTAGGCCTATTGTTTTAATGGTAGGATCAAAAGTGAAGGTGATAGATTTCTTCCCCTAAAACCACCTAAATTTTGTAAACAGAATACAGTTGACTAAATCTAAAATTCAAACTGTACAACAGTTTTGTATAGCTTACGTTTAACAAACAATTTTAAATTGATTAACCCTTCAACTGGCACAGCGACTATAATAGTCGCGGTAGTCAGTGTCTGTAGTGGCAGCGACTATAATAGTTGCATTTTGCAAGGTTATTTTAAATTGCATATAAACAGTTAAAAACGATCGCTAACTTACATAAATTGTATACCAATCGAAAGATGAGGTTCTAAACTTTCATTTTATTACATAAATAACCTTTATAACACTGATGGATCAATATAACTTAGTGATAAAGTGGAAGAAAATTTCGCGCGAAGTCAGTTTCTCTATATAAGCATCACAAAACTACCGAAAATGGATATTTTCAACAAATAATAGCAAGGGGTATTTTTAGTCTACGGAACAGCGGGTGGTAGGCCTACCACTGCATCCGGCAGTTCATTTTCTATATCGAGATATATAAATTATATCGATATCTTTATAAATAACTCAAATAGAAAAATAATACCTCAGCCACCTTTTTACGTGTATTTGAACTGGCAGCGCGACTATTATAGTCGCGGTAGTAATTCACATATGTTTCAACGAAATTTATAACTTTTGTTATAATGACATATACCATCTGATAGCCCATGAAATTCTGTGCATAGTGGACTTTTGTTGCCGTATGTTGCACAACCTGTACCAACGTCATCACTTGTTGTTTACGTGCAATTTATCTTCTTCACCTGTTCACAAGGTTATGGGAATTTCACCGTTTTTTAGTTTTTTTGGCCATAACTCAGCCAAAAAAAGTTATAAATTGAATGTTTTTACTTTTTTATGAACAGAAATAAATTGCTAACATTTTGTATATCTTGGATTTCATATAAAAAATTTTCTGCATTTGCAGCACAGTTTTGCTTTCAAACTTTCAAATTTGAAAAAACAATTTTTTTGGTTTTTTTCTCTTTGTTTCAAAAATTATTCTTCCAACTACTTGCAGTTTTACCATTTTCAGATTCTTCACTATTTTACGAACAATTCAAGTATATGGTTCAAATGGTTTACTTTATTAGTTCAATTTATATGAATTTTCAAAAATATGACTGCAAAATCACTAAAATGGCCTTGCCACTACAGACTTTTCTATGTGCCAGTTGGAGGGTTAAATATGGCCTAACTTATGTGCTTTGGTAAAAATCAACAAATAAAGAATTGTTTCTTTATTAAGTTTTTAAAATTAAAAATCCTTTATTTTAACAGGGAAAGTTAGGGCCACATGGTCCTATTCTCACACTTAATCTGCATAACTTCTTACTGTAGGTATGAATATTTAATAGAAAATATAATTTACAAGTAGAGATTTTTTAACTTGAACAACAAAAACAATAGGTACCGGTACCTACTTAAATAACTTACATAAATATGCACCACGTGAAAAATGCAGTGAACTACCCTCAGCTAGAAAGCCAAAGTCACATTAAAAATATTTTAACAATTTATTTTTAAAATTGATAATGGTGTAGGCTAATTAAGTGATTTTTACTATTACTAACCTCTGATCATTCAACTTTAAAGTTTTTATTATTTAATATCTAAAATGTGATGTGCTCCATGTCTTCATCTACCAATATATTAATAGGTACCGTAAGCATGTTTCTTTAAAACCATTTTTCTCAGCATCACAGGGAAAATATATAGCCTACACATACTTTTAGAAAGATATTTTTCTGAAGATGTGCAGAATCCTTTCATAAATTAAAATAGGCTAAAATATAAGCACAAAAAATGCATTTTGAATTTTAAAACAACACGGTTCTTATGGGTTGCCATGCTGGTGACGAAATAACAACGCAATATTAAGAGAAAATCAAAACAAATTGAAGAAATTCCAATAACATGTTTTATTTATAGCGTAGAGAGCAAATAGAGAAGTCTGTAAATTACCTATTTTACAATCACTGCATCTCCCCAAGTGAGTGTAGTGTTGAGAGCCAAACCTAAGTTTTCACTTTGTCACAGTATGGACGTTCAGTTCTGTTGATTGTGATTGAGTTTGTTGCATGAAAGTTTAAGTCCATGTTCTTCAGTCCATTCGATGATTCTTCTTTCTGGCTCGTATAAGCGCCGCTAGCCCCATCTAAATTGTTTCTTAATACCGTTATCCAAGAATTGATGATATGGACAGTCGGTATTTAAAGTTTACCTCATCCTTAGTTCATGCAATATCGTTTAACGCCACATTTTGCAAAGTGATGAACTTTTTTCAGAAATGGAGATCTCCAGCAATCTCCAAAGATTATAACCTCAAGTAGCATTGGAGGAGAGGTACCAAAAGAAGTATCAGTTGCTCTTAGCCGCATTCACATCAAAACAGATGCCAAAAAACCATTAGGATCCAATGAAAATCCTATCCAGCTGGTGCAACAGGGAACCACTTTCCACAGGTAATTTTTGTGTTCAATTTTTAATTTATTTTTGGGATAGTGTAGGGCCACCGATTAAAGTATATTTTTTAATGCCATTAGGCCCAATGTTGGAAATGTTGTTGAATGAACTGAATAAAGTTAGGATTTTGAGTAAGTAATTACATTTTAATGAGAGAAACTTCCCCCCTCATCATGGATAAAAACTAGTCCTACAAGATATATTTAATAGAAAATCACAAAATAACTGCAATTACAGTATTGGCAAAGATCTCTTTTTCATCCAGTCTTATGGCAGTTTGTACAACCTAACTCTTCTTCTGGGTATAAGCATTGATTATTTAATAAATAGTAGTATATTATATTAACATAGACTACACCTTTTCCACATTTATTTGAGAAGTTATTAATTGTATTTGAGATTAATTACTTGTATTTGAGAAAATATCAAATGTAAATGAGATTAGTCAGTTGAATTTGATCAAACAACAAATGTAGTTGAGAATAATCAATTGTATTTGAGAAAAATGTTCAATTTCATTTCAGAAAAGGTGATTTGAATTTGAGAAGTTGTCAATTGTATTTGAGAAAATTATCCAAATTAAAATCAGCTGTGCTTTGTTAATTGCTATGGTTACTACAGTGTTATTTGTTTACTTGCAGTGTGAGGTTTTGTTGTTGTGTTGGAAGACTTAAATGATACTTTTTTAATACTTTTCGATAATGCAAATAACCTTTTCTTAATTTGAAATGAAAGTGACCAACTGACATTTTCTGAAGTACAAGTGGAGTGTAAATTACTTAAATATTAGACATGGAGCTCAAAAACAACTGTGGTATTTGCCAATCCAGCATGTTGAGAAAACCCGTAATAAGAATTTTGCCCTGTAGACATTTGCTACATCAGATTTGTTTGGAAAACCAGCGTGAATTGCAGGTGTTCAATGCAGAACAATGTCCTATTTGCCGTCAAGATATTGATATGGTGGAACACATAGTTAGAAAATTATACCAAAAACATTCAAACCAAGACCGACTAAGAATTGTCTCAACTGCCAACAGAGGTGAAGATTGGGTAGCGTTGAGCTCTCAATTAAATGTCCCCTACAAAACAGCATACCGGTGGGTCAGGTCGGGAGATGATGCACCTCTACCCAAGGGGGGAAAGAAGCCGAAAGTGTTAATAGATGAAGAAATAGATGAAATTGAAACCTGGATAGAGAACGATTGTGGTCTCACATTAAAACAAATTCAAAGTAAGGTTTTGAATTCTTTTCAAAAAATTGTTTCCATTGCAACAATTGGAAACTACCTTGAAGGTAGGGTAATGACTTTTAAGCAGGTCCATAAAGAACCGGTTACAATGAACTCAATCCACAACAAGGCTAGACGAGCCGACTATGTTCGTACTTTAAACGAACTTATTCAACAAGGGAAGCAAATTGTTTGGATCGATGAGACCAATTTCAATATGTTCTGTAGACGCAAAAGAGGACGAGCTAAAGCTGGAAACAAAGCAGTTCAAAAGCTACCAGCAAGCAAAGGACCTAATGTCCATTTAATTTGTGCAATTTCGGCTGCAGGCTTATTAGCTATGGATCGAAGAAGAGGGTCATTCACTAACGAATCAGCAAATGAATGGGTTGAAGAAACCTTAATGCAAAGATGGCAAGACATTGGCAATCGGCTTGAGGACCTGGTAGTTGTTGTCGACAATGCTCCGTGCCACAGCCGGCTAGAAGCAGTTCATGACGGGACTCCAGCAACGCTACTGAGGTTAGCTCCTTATTCACCGATGATGAATCCCGTGGAAACCATATGGTCGAAGGTGAAGGCTTTCGTAAAAGCAAACCTGAGAGTTCCACAAGTTCAACCACCCGGTGTTGGAGAGCAAAGGCTCGCCTACTTAGAAAATGTGATTGATCAAGCAAAAAACACTATTGTTGACGGTGATTGTGCACTAGCTGTTCAACACACTACGACCTTTCATCCTGCAGCCTTAGCAATGGAAGACATGGAAGTAGGGAAGTAAAAAGGTTGGGAGGTTTCTTAAATTGATTTAAAAGAAGATTTGCAGAGTTTAAATTGAGCCTCCGTTTTATGGCTTGTTTGTAGTGACCTTTTTTAATAGTGACCATTTTTAATAGTGACCTTTTTTAATAGTGACCTTTTTTAATAGTGACCTTTTTTAATAGTGACCTTTTTTTATTGTGACCTTTCCTCAGTGCGTACTAATTTATACTTAAAGTATAGCCTACCTACATAATTTAGGGTGTATAAATATGCATGCGTACTGTAAATACCTACTGTGATATGACGAATTATAAGAACTATTTATTTATGTTAATGTACAGAGAGTAATGTTGAGGATGTGTTATGTTGAATTTTTGTTTCTCACTATCATAAGTTCTCAAATTAATACATTTAACTTAACAATTTTTTTTTAATATTTGAGTTTTTCCTAAGTAGGCCTAAATAAATATTTTAAAAAAATATTTTTTTTTTAATCATTGTAATATTAAACAGTTATTGGGTTTATCAAATTAAAGCTGCTTATCTCACGAGGAATGTGAAAGAGTATTATTATATGTATTTTTTAGAAAAATGCAGGTATTCAAAAGGTACAAAATATTCCAAAGAAATCACCCCTATTTTGAAAAGTATTTAATACAGGAGAGCTTTGAATTTATCTATAATATGACATGCCTGGTTTTTATTTATTATTATTGTGAGATTCAAACCTTTGATATGATATATTCTGTATTCAAAAATCAATAAATAGCCTATATTAATGATATTGCTTGGGGTTGGTTTAGTGGAAAAAACCATTTAATCATTGTATGACAAACAGTCACTGTCCAATATCTGGAATCCTTTAGAATGCATGACCTTGCAAAATTCGTCCCCGTAGCCTATAATCATTGACTTTAATACCAGAAAATGGTTAATTTCATATCACAATAATTGTTTTTAGTGCTTTTAGTGAATTTCCCTATAGGGAAGAAGCTATTACTGTGGGTCTCATGGTAAGACCTAGGCCCGGGACCAATTTACTTTTTCATTTTGTCCCCAATGTTTTTCTAGCATTGTACTTATGGAGAATATATTGTAAAATGTTGTATTTGGCTTGTTCATGGATATATTTTGACCAAACATGGCAGATTTTTAAAATTTTTTACTAAGCTATTAATATATTAATAAAAAAAACACACTTTATTAGTTTCCCTGTAGCAGTAAACCTAGGTACTCGTTAAACACAAATGTTAATTTAATAGATTAATTGAAAATCAAACCAGGCAAATGGAAATTTGCATAGTAGGCAGGTTTGCTGCAGTGAGGGTATTAATATTACATTTTATTATTTTAATATTGTAGAAATTGGCAACTTCTTCAATTGTATTTAGGAAAAATATCCATGTAAAAATCAGCTGAATTTTGAGTTTCTCATTATCAAATCACAAGTTCTCAAATACATTTAACAATTTCTTAAATAGAATTCACTGCTCTCAAATTCATTTGATGTCTTCTCAAATACAACTGACTGTTCTCAAATTTAATTTATGTTTTCTCAAATACATTTAACTAATCTCAAATACAATTGATATGTTCTCAATTAAACATAACTGTTTCTCAAATAAAACTGGAAAAGGTGTAGTGTACCTGGGGAGCGCGGCAGTGGTCCGAAAGTCAGTACTCCGAAAGGCACTGGTCCGAAAGAAATTACATGGTCAGGCACTGCTTCGAATGGCATAAGTTCGAAAGGCACTGGTTCGAAAGTCACAACTCCGAAAGTCACTAGTCAGAAACATTTTGTGCATCCAGGCACTGGTCCGAAACAATATGTGCATCCAGGCACTGCTCCGAAAGTTATAACACCGAAAGTCACTAGTCAGAAAAGAATGCAAGGGTCAGGCACTGGTCCGAAAGAATGTGCGTGGTCAGGCACTGCTTCGAAACGTGGTTCCCCCTCGCAGCGAATGGGCGGAGCTATACAGGTGTGGAGTGGGAGCAGCCTCCCGTCCCCCCTACCTCTTGACATGCCCCTACTTTTTGGCGCGGTGACGACAGTGTCGGTTAGTCACTTCTCACTTCACTCAATCACTCTACGTTACCACCAGGACCAGGACCAGGGGCAGTTGACATCGGGGATACTCAGCAGGATATATTTTCCTTAATAATGTTGCTATGTTTTTAGTGAAGGAAATTATTCCATAAAAAAAAATTGTGTAACCCTGATAAAATTGTACATGGATGCGCTCTACATCAGCTCGTATTTCTCAATACGTAGTTGCTTAACGCCGATGTTCCTATAGCTACCATTGCATTGTACAGCGCCATAAAGAGCGCTTGCAGATCCTTTCGAATCTGGGTCATTACTTCGTCCTTAAAATCTTTAATAAACTAACTGCAGATTCTTGTTTTTCTCTAAAAATTATTTGTATGTGTTAAAACTTAAATATATGACATCAAGATCGTTTAAATCGGTTCACAATTGGGGCTACAAACAGTTAGAACTAAGCCCCTTGCATTTTCACGCGCCAGACAGGTAGAGCGCAGCCTTTAGGTTATTGTAATGAGTTGCTATTAAAGGAACCTTTATAGAACTTAAGTTATATAGCCAATATTATACTAACATAAACATAATTAAATTCCCGTAGATAAAAACCAATCTTAAAGTTGCTATGTGGATTATTCCATATAAATTATTCCATATCACAGAAAATGTGTGTAACCTTTGTAACCACTAGATAAAATTGTACTTAATGTTATTGTAATGCAAATTTGTTATGCAACATCTATAGAACTTAAGATATCTTGCCAAATAAATATCATTAAATGCCCATGCATAAAAATCCAATCATAAATTTGCTATAGTAAGTGATTATATATCTCTTAAATTTATATTGTTGTAAAGAAATCTTATGTTATCTTACTAATAATATAAATGTGAAAGTTTGTGTGTTTGTTTGTTTATTTGTTTGTTTGTTTGTTTGTTTGTTTGTTTGAAGTTCAATCACGCA